GATTTCCAGTTCTGCTGATTGGTGTCTTTAACATAATTTCTTTAGAAAGCATTAGAAAGAACAGCTGAATAATTTGCTTTGGGATGATTAAGGCAGAAAAGTACAAGAGACAGAAACACACACAGCTGTTTTATTTTGTCTTTCTTCGGAGAGACAATTCAGATTAATTAAGATTCAGTCTACAATCAATTGAGCTGAAGGGGCACCATTCAAATGAGTTGAACGAAGTTAGCTTTCTAATGCCATTTTTGTTAGATTTAATTTCTCTGGTTTCTTCCCAAGGTGAAGATAGACCCATTCTGTCAATCGGGTTTTCACCCTCATTGTAGGTTCTTGAGTACTTTTATCCAGACCAAAATGGTATCCTCTGACTTCCTTTCTAAGACAGCTTTTGCCTTCCTTCCTTAACTCATTCTCTGATGTTTTAGTCTTTTGCTCTGCTCTCTCATTATCCTTTCACCCCACCAGACAAAAACACTATCTGTCTAAAACTTGGCTTAGAAGGGAAGATCCAAAGGAGAGCATGGAGGATAAAGGATAAGTTAAGAAACATATGCTACTGGTCTTAAGGGTCCACTAGAGAGACATGAGACTTGGTAGTGCTTTGACAGTCGGGGAAGCTACTACAAGGAAGAACTGTGAATAGGGTTTGGTCGGGAAAGGAGGTAGTTCTTAGTAGAGCTCTGGAGGAGCTCCCCTTTTCTCATGGGGGTTGGTAAGCACCACAAAACCACAGCTGAAAGGAAAAAGAAAACTCCACCACTGGCCTTTTTCCGAGCGTGGCCGCCTTCCGCTCGGCTCAGTGCCCGCCACATGCCCAGGAGTGCGTCTGGATCCTTGAGGGGCTCCCTTCGCAGGTGACAGTGCTTACGCTATACTGTAAGAGAGCCAGAAAAGTGCCCATGAGAACCAGAAAGCAAACTTCCAGCTAGCAGGATCATCTCTCTAGGCATCTAAGATGGGGGAATCAACATAGATATCTGGGCAGCAGCTGAATGCCAGGAAAAGTGAGGGAGAGATGATTCCCCCCCCTCCCCAGTTCAATATAATGGTGATGGAAGGAAAAAAAAAGTTTTATGTGATGTATCTGCTGGGAATAAGACAGAAAAAACTAAGCCAAAGCCAAATGGTGGGGAAAAATGTCTTTGCTTCTAATAGACAAAAAGAAATAAGAGAAGAAAATGACCTACAGTCTAAATTTGGTTATATAAGAAAGTCTGCTCTGCTGGCCTGGAGAATCAGAGCTTATAAATGAAAGCAACTCATTCTACCACTTGGGTGATGCTGCATTTAAAGGAAAGTAGAGTGAGAAGGAAAAGAAGGAAAACTTTCATTCTAAGATATAAAAAAGCATAAATACACCAAAAATAAAGAGCTTTGAGCATTTCTCAAAAGTATGATCTTATTGTAAGTAAGACAAAAAAGAAAAGCTCAGTAGACCAACATTAGACTTTGATGTAAGAGATCTCTGGCAGTTCACAACCCTTCCAATCTTTTTAAATTACTATGTTTCAAAAATGCTTGACATGACCTTTCCTATTAAATAAGGATTAGAAGAATGCTCTAACAGATCAAAAGAGTTTTATTTTTTACTGTGGATGCAGAACTAAATTCCTGCAAACTCTGCTGATCAAACTCAAAATCTCAATCTTCCTAAGAAAAAAGAAAGGGTACCAATTATCTGCTAGAATACTGTAATAGCAGAGGAACTTCCAAACTTTCAAGTAATACGCTTCTCAATTCCAGAAGTGAGTGTGTCTGAAGAAGATGGTTTGTGGCACCATCTCCTTCTCTAATTAACCATGTTAAATAGGGTTTCTATTCAGAAAGGTTTGCTGTGTTTCCCTCATATTCCAAGGGACTAGGAAAAACGGAAAGCACAAGAATCCAGAAAAATCATTCCAGGATACCAAGCTGATGTTATCTTGATCCTTTTGACATCAACCCACTATCAGAGATGGATCTCTCACTTATATACACTTCCTTGGCGGAGACATAAGAATAGGCTCCCATTCTGAAAAACATGGTAACTAATTATTTCTTGGAAAATGTCAGTTGGCAGACTAAATGACCAGAATGTACTCTGGGCTCCAGCAACCTCACATTTTCTAGGATAAATACTTCTTAAAATCTCAGCTTCCTAAGAATCTGGTCGAAGCATGTCAACCTCTCTTGTCGGTCCACTTAGCAAAAGTTAACAAATACAGATTTGTGTCCCTTCCCTCAAAATTAGAAATTCTTCCACTTAAGCTCCACGATTAAGAGTCATCACCTGGCAACCAAGGAAGGTGGTACACCTGTTTGGCAAAGGGAGCAGACTGGTTAAAGATCAACTGGGACCAGTCTCCCATGTGAGGCAATAATAAATTACTCACAAAGACAGTGCGGTTATTTGAGGGGACAGAGGGACTAGAAACAATTAGATTTGGTTGTCACCTAACACTGGGCTCCACGGAGCCAAAAAAAATCAAAAGATGACCAGAATACAGATAGTAATAGACACCAACCCTCAGATCTCTCATTTACTTCAAGTTTTAAGGAAGTGTGTTTCCTAGAGCAAGAAAGCAAGGTTCTTCCACTAGGATAAAACTGGAATGTAAAGCAACTCCAAAGGAGTGGCCAATAGTTTGTTCATTCATTTACAAGAATGGTTCCTACTTTGGCCTGCAGGGTGTTGTAATATAACAGGAAGAGCAGCATCCTACTAGTTTTACCAGGACAGACAGTTGGCTAACTGCTGGCCGGGAAGCGAGGTGCTGTATTTTCAGGTAAAGGCAAGCAATGGGTAGTAGAAAAGAAACTAGTGACCATGTTAAGGAGCCATTTGAGATGCAGACAGTATATAAGACAGGAGGTACTCTGGACCCAACGGCAAAAAATAACTTGGTAAAGGCCGTAAAAAGAGGCAGGGAGAGAAGCAAGGTATTATATCTGAGGAATGGCTCATCACCCTCCATCTAAAAAGAGGTTATTGAAAGGGGTGAATTTTTATGGTTTTAAAATAAACATAAGGAATCGGCCTACTTAAATACACAAATTGCCTCCAAAGGGTCCAAAGCATGGTAATCATCTCTAGAGACCTGGTCCAACGCCGTACATCACATTCTAACCCCGTGAGTCCTTGCCTGAGTACTAGGCCACCAATATCCGGTCACTATTTTAGCCCTTTCTTGCTGCACAGCATGCCTGATGGCACATCACCAGTCAGTTAAGGTGGTGCCTTTCAGTCTATTCCGTCAGTGGCCTAAATCAAATGCAAAATTCTGCATTTGTTTTAATTTTAGATTTCAAGACCCCCAACAGATAAAGGAAGCTAGAGACTTGAATTTCAAAAAGATCCTAAGGAGTTTATACAGTAATAGGCTATGCAGATGAGACCAAGGCACTGGCTGGAGAAGGGGCCAGGGCCCAAGTGGAGCTGTTGCTGGACAGTTAGATCGTGCACCAAGGTTCACCTTTTGTAGGGAGGCGCCAGACATACATCTGGGCACCGGGAGAACCGGGTGTCATTCAAGAAGGCATCAGACCCTCAACTTCATTCAAGGAGTAACTTGAATGAAACGAGGCGCCTTTGCTTGGTCACTCTTCCTCCTTCACATCCAAGGGAGGCAGAGACAATGGGAATAAAAAAAAAAAAATTCCACCTAGGAGACTGTAATAACTGCATCAATCTATACGTGGCTCTCAAAAAGCTTTCTTCTAACCAGAGGTTTGCCCCTATTGCAGAGTCTGACATTTTATGGAACAATGACGATCTATAATCAGGCCTTCAAAACGGTCCTTAACCTGTTGTATCCCAAACCTCAACGTGTTTCCGACAGAAGGAAATTCACATTCAGCAGCCCTGTGGTGTAATGGAAGGGGAAAGAAAAGCCCCAAGGCCAGCTCGGCGGGGGAGGGGGGCGAGCCCAAGGTTCTGAGCGCCGCCGGGCAGCGCACCGGGAATTTCCCCGCCTGGGAAGGGATCTGCGAGCGCGGCCGAGCCGGGGGAGGTCCTGGGGAAGCAGGACAGGCCGGGCAGACGCCCCGCGTAGAGGCCGAGAGGATTTTTCCCTCCTGTTTTAGGATCAAATCGTTCTTTGTGAACTGGCTGAGCGGGGTCCGGTCGGAGGCCGCGCGGCGGGGAACCCACCGGCCGTCTGAAACCAACAGTCCCCCATGTCTCCTCCACCGTTTAGAGCGTGGAGCAGGGGTGCGGGGGACAAAGTGTCAAAGACAAAGGACGATCAGCTCCTCCGAACGGAAACGCACACGGAGGGGAGGCGGGGGAGGCGGGGGAGGGGGCATTACTCAGCGCAGGTCGTCCTGATAATCAACGGGGAGCGCGGCCAGGAAGGCGAGCCAGGCGCACGTGCACTGAAGGCGGCTTCTGCGGAGGCGTGGAGAGGCGTGGGGAGGCGGGGCGGCGGCGGGAACCAGCGGGGCGCGCGCTCGGCCCCGACCCTCCCGCCCCTGCAACAGCTCGCGGGCGCGGACCGCGGGGCGGCCGAACCCACCCCCGCCCCCGGCGGCCCCAGGCCCCGCCCCCGCCACGAGACCCCGCCCCCGGCGGCCCCAGGCCCCGCCCCCCGCCGCTAGGCTCCACCCCCGGCGGCCCCAGGCCCCGCCCCCCCGCGAGGCTCCACTCCCGCCCGCAGCCCCGGGTGGAACCCCGACAAGCCGCCCCGGCCACGCGACCCCCGAGCGGCCCAGGCCCCGCCCCCTCTAGGCTGCACCCCCGGCGGCCCAGGCCCCGCCCCCCGCGCGGCTCCACCCCGCCCCCCCGCCCCGAGCGGAACCCCGACAGGCCTCCCGGGCCACGCGACGCCCCCCCCGGCCCCGTCCCCGCCGAGAGGCTCCCCCCGCCCCGGGGACCTCGGCCTCCCGCTGGGCCTCGCCGCCCCGGGCTCCGCGGGCTCCCCCCGCCCCCCCCCCGCTCCGGCGCTGCGGGCAGCGGGCAGTCCGGCCCGGGGGGGGGGGGGGGGGGCGCCCCGTCCTCGCGCCGGCCCCGCCTCACTCACCCTCCGTCACCTCGAGCACCTTGATCTGCTCCTCGGCGGCCGCCCGCACCTCCTGCACGGGGGACAGGATCCCGGTGAGCGTGTCCACCAACGCCTCCTTCAGCCCTTGCGCCACGGGACCCGGCAGCCCGGAGGCCGCGCCAGCCGCCGCCGCCGCCGCCATCTTCCTTGCCTTCAGCCCGCCAGCCCGCGGCAGGGACCCGCCGCCGCGCGACGGCGCCCGCGCGCGGCCAATCCGCGAAGCCGCGCCTGCGCACCGGGGCCGGGCGGGAGCGCGGAGGGGGCGGGGCCGGGCCTGGGCCTCCGGGGACAGCGCCCCCTGTGGTGGGCGCGGGGCGGCCTCCCTCGGAGCGGGGCCGCGACCCAGGACGCCCGATTCGTGGACCTCGCAGGTAGGAGCCACCTTGTTAGCAGGGAGGAGCTGTAGGGGCCCCTCGGGGCAGGGCGGGCCTCCCTCCCACCCCGCACACCAAACACGGAGAAAAAAATAAATAAAAATTGGCTCCGGTGAGCCTCATCTCAGCTTCAAGAATTCAAAGGGGGATGGGGGGGGGCTCCGCGGTGGAGCACCTGCCTGCGGCCCAGGGCGTGACCCCGGGGTCACAGGATGGAGCCCCCCCCATCGGGCTCCCTGCATGGAGCCTGCTTCTCCCTCGGCCTGGGTCCCTGCCTCCCTCTCTCTCTGTGCCTCTCATGAATAAATAATTAGAATATTTAAAAAAAAAAAGAATTGGAAGGTAGGGGGAGAGGACCCCAGTGCACTGGGCAGTGGGGAGGGTCACCTGCGCTGTTTCCGGCCTGCTGGAGCCCAGCTTCAAAATTGGGGGGAGAGGGCAGGGCATCGGGAAGGGGGTTTCCTCCAGGGGAAGGCCTGAGAGTGGACCCCATTCGCTGACAATGTATGCACTTCTCTCCCCCCACTCCCCACCCGGAGAAATTGAGGCTGGACGTCCGAGCGGTGAAGGAGCAAGAGGGCATCCTAGGGCTGGCGGTAGGAAAAGGCTGATGGAAGAGAGTCCCAAGTGCTGGAGCAAGTGGAGGGGACTATGCCGAGGGGTTACTAATGCAAGGCTGCTAAATACGACTTTTAGAAGCAGAGGGATGCTTGTTGCTGGGTTGGGATGCTGCTGGAGTGGGAGGCGCTGCAGCAGGAGGAACAGGTGATTTTTAGCAAGCTGTTCAGGTTGAGTGCCTTAAAACGGTTTCTAGGAACCCCGACTCTCATTCCCAAGAGGCAGAGGACACCAGATGGCAAGCCCTAGCCCAGTTCTAAGACCGTGACTGCTACATGGACAGTGCTCTGGGGCTGTCACCCATTGGACTGTTCTTCCTAAAGATGGGTTCCTGGATTTGAGGGAGCTCTGAGCACGTTGGTCACTTCCCATGTTAGAGGACACGTGGGTCTCGTTACCACAATTTCATAGGGAAAAAAAGATTGCTCTGCGGACCTTGAAATTCCACAGTAGGGGTAGGGTAGTAGGAGTTCTTTCCCTTCTTTCCTTGTTCCATTAGAACATCTCCCCCCCCCCCCGGGTTAATTCACTTTTACTTCTGGAAGAAAAAAGGAAGGTCCAGAGGGCGGTGGATCTTCAAACGTTGTGGCAGTGGACGGAGGACCCAAGAACCCTGTGAAATCCGGGCTGGCGAAGGATCCTGTGTCCGCAGCATGCAAGTAGGATCCCCAGCCTCCCACCCCCAGCCTTCCCCGACCAAAGGGGTCCAGAGCTCCTGCTTAGGATCTGAAGATTTTTCCAGGCAGATGAGGTTTACCTCTTGGTTAGGCAAATGACAAGCAGTCTCACCTTGCGGATCAAGGAATGGGCCACAAGATAAACGGAGACAAACCAGACAGAGGGGACCAGAGAGAACCAGTGGACAATACAGGAGATAACTTTATTGAAACGCAAATGGCATCAAACAGATGAATCTTGCCGGGAGGAGACATGCCTGATGGAACAGAGGGCCCAGATGAGAGGGGCCTCTGGCAGTGATGGAGGAAGGCCTCTTCAGCTGGCCTGCCATGGACTTCATTGTCAACCAATTTTTACTTAAAACGAATTACTGAGGGGACAACTCAGCTCTCCTCATGATTGTTACCGCAACTATATACAACGGTTTGCTTTCCAGATTCAAATTTGCTTTCTCTACATTAGATATAAAAGGGGGTAGACTGAAAGAGGGGGAGGGTCAAATGAGGGGGAAAAAAAAAAACATAAACACAGACACACACATATCCTGGTTTGGGGCTTTATGTCCAATAAATTAAAAAAGAAAAAGAAACCTGTTGTAAAAATTCCTACCCACTTTCCACCTGAGGATTGCCACGCATTTGAGAAACACAGACTCCATCGCATAAACAGTGCTGCTGAAAACCGGGTGGGGGTGGGTGGGGGGAGGGAAGGAAAGGAAACTAGTAGGGGTTGGAATTCATTAAAAAAAAAAAATTGTTCTTTAAAAAAAAAAAAAGAACAACACAAAAACCAACAACAGTAACAAAAACCATTAAGTAGGAGGTTCTTGCACAGCAGTAGCCCAGACACTGGCCGGGGTATGGGAGCTCTTGGCTTATTATCCAACATCTTCAGTCTCTGAGGAATGAATGGCTGGGAGCCAGAAGGTCCCATGGGAGATGACCCAAGGCGCGTCACCAGCCTTCTGGGGACTGAAGGGGTGAATTTAGTGCAATTTGTTTTACGCTTGTCTTCTAAGAGCCTTAGGTCCTCCTCCCAGTGCTTGGTCCTAGATTTCAAGAGGCCCTAGTCCTAGCACATTTCTTTGTCCTCTACCCACAAGCTCCATCTCAGGGAAGACTGACAAACTGGAAACAAAGCCCGCAGTCAGCAGCCTCCTCTACCCCGTGGCCCCATCAGCTAGAATCTGTGAATCTGCAAAAATAAGAAGCTCTTCTCAGATTTTTTTTCCCCCTTCTATAAAGGATTCCATTCTATCACTGGCTGAGTAATTCCGTACCCTAGGCCTGGCGTGGGGAAAGGGAAGGATGAGCCCCGAGACTCAGCTGCCCCCCGTCCTGCGTCGTCATTGTGCTTCCGTCCCTCCTGTGAGCCGAGCAGAACACGGAGAAGGGGTCTTCCTGGGCACGGGAGCCCTCCAGCTGCCCTGGGGAAGGAGGTTCTGGCCAGGTTTCTCTGACCCAGCAGTGCCCTTTAGAACTCAACTAAAAGAGAGGGGATGTTGCTAAGAGAACAAGTTGCCATGGAAATACAAATGAGATTTTCTGACTTTTCCCATCCTATTATATAATCAGAAAAAAGGCTTAGCGTAGACACAAATAAGCCAGCAGAGGAGCAGTCTGGAAGAGACCTCTGGCAGCTTTCTTCTGCTACAGCCCATTAATTTCCCAGGTAAAAATTTCAGAGCCAGGAGATTTTTCTCTAAAGATTGTGTTCGACTAGGAGAGATGCCAAGCATTCCCCCTAACGTCTGCCCAAAGCACACATACCTTTTCCTTTAAATAAAAGGAAAAACAGAACCATAGGGAAGCACGAAAAAGGTAACTGAAACTAATGTAATAGCTTGAGTTTTACCCCAGGACCATCTTGGTTTTGGTCCTAAAGCCCCTCCGTGTGGCGACTCTGCTACTAGCCCGTCCTTCTAAAAAAGTGAATTTCAGACTGTAGCGTGCGTCAGAATTACCAAGAGTGTTTGTTAAAACACAAATTGCTGGGCCTTCTCCCTAGTTACTGGCCGAGTAGGCCTGAGATGGGGCCTGAGAATTTCAATTTTAACAAGTTCCCAGATGCTGACGCTGCCGGTCTGGAAACATAGTTTGAAAACCACTATTTTAAGAAATGAAAGAGTTGAATCAAGGAACCAAGGGCCCACTTACTTCCATGACCGCTCTTGTCAACAGAAAATTCTCCATGGCATAATCATTCAGAAAAATAAGCAAAACATCAAACTGGGAGGATCCGGACACATAGGTTTAATTTTCCATTCTAACGGTCTCCGTGCGGCCTCCAGATTTCTATCAGGGTCCTCCTCTTCCAGTTTCCTTCTGTTTCTCAGGGTGTCTGGCTGGCAGCGCTTGCTTCCAGGGCCAGGCTGAGCACACATCCACACGTGGATCCTCAGTGGGGGTGAGGGGGAGCCAAGCTGGAGGCCCCGTATATTCCTGACCAGGTTGGTTGAGGACTCATGAATATATAAAGCTGATTCAAGTATAAAGGGCAGTATTTTCAGGCATTGGCCTTTTGGGAACACAGTGTCCCTAAGACCATTTTATTACTTATGGCCTCTTTAGTGGAGCCATGAACCACCAGCAGCCAGAACCTGCTAGTAGTTCCTAGTGATCAAGGGTATACCAGCATTAAATTAGTATATCCATTAGTAAACCTTCGGGAAAAACACATTTCATCCCATCAGTGGGGTTGACTTGTAATCTGCTTATTAGCTTCAGCTTAACTAAGGCCCAGGAATAAGAAAAAAAAAGAAAAAAAGGTACGATGAGGGGTTGCATTTGGTGATCTGGATTACACTTTAGCACGTGAACCCCGTGTTAAATGTGTGATCAGGACAAGAACAGCTTCCTTTCCCAAACACCCTGCAATGAAGCATCCTTAGAGTCTCCCGTAGGTCTCCTAGTGCTGGCTTGTAGGACCAAGTCCCTGTCAGTCTGGCAAATCTCACTGATCCGAAGGGTTTCTGTGTGTGGCTGTCCTCTCAGTCGGTGATGTGAGGTGTTTCTGAGAAAGAGCAGGCTGTTGTCTCCCTTCTCTTTCGGAACACTACAGGAACTAGCTACTCTGAGACTGGAAGGGGGTATCCCTCTGAATAGTGTGACCCTGGTGTCAGGGAGCTAGAGGTGGAGACGCGGTGAGATTAGGTCCATTGGGAGTCTCGCAAACCAGAAGAACCAAAGAGCCAGAGATGAAAGGGGGGAAACAAAAATCACTATTTTTGTCTGAAATCCTTAAGGTGTTTGAATAGATTAGTTAGAAGGCTGGTAATTCAAGACCAAAATGTCGCATGCCGATCAATAGGGACTTCACTGTAGGGCCTGTCATTGGGACAGCCAGTCTTTCTTCCCTGTTAGCCTCTAGCTTCCCAATGGTTAGACTACATGAAAAAGATGTTGGATTCACACAAAGACAGAGGTAAGCACCGTAGAGCTGCCACAAAGCATAGATTTTTAAAAAATACTCTGAAGCCTCAGGAGTTAGGAAACAGCAACAGCAAAGTGCTCTTGAGAGAGAGAGAGGGAGAATGGGAGGGAGGGAGAGACACACACACACAGACATCAGGTCCTGTATTAGCCTCCAATTACCTAGTATTTTATTTTTAGTGCCTAGGCAGGGATTGAGAAACACATACACTGGACAAAATGCGTTGGTCGTCTTCATCCAGAAACGAGGGGGAGTCTGCGGAGGAACCTCTCCTGGAGTCGTGGCTCTCCCCAGAGATTGATGTTGGGTATTGAACCGTGTCATCTGCTAGCCCACTTTGGTGAGGAATGAGAGTCTGGAGAGGAAGGGGAGAGCACACATCCCAGTCCTACACAGGCTGGGTTCTTCTGAAGGTGTCTGGGGGCTGAGAAGTTAGCAGCGGGACCCAGTTTTCATTTTCGGAGGGATCCCGGTAGTCTCAACTAAGAAGCAGGTGCGTAGGTAGGAGAGAAGGCTATGGATTTGCTCTTGCCGTTAACTTGAGGGCAGTAAGGGGGAGCTCAGGTTTTCTGCTTCAGAGAAGTCTGGATGAGCACCCCAAGGGGTTATAGCACCATGAGGAGACTCAACCTTCCGCAGTTGCCACATCACCACGATTCCTTGGTGAGACGACAGATGCCCGCAACGGGGCCCAAGTGTGCAACTGTAAACGGGGTCCCAGGCTCCAGAGGGAAAGCTGAGGCTGCAGGGCCACCTCATTAGATGGGAACACGCTTTTTGGAGGAAAGCAACTAGAGACCTGGTCTAAATGCAGCAGTCAACTCAGAGTAGAGGGTGGCGGGTCCCAGAAATAGTAGAATTCATCACGAGAGGCCTCCAGAATCAACCCACTGAGGATCCAAATAAAATTCACGGTGGTATCCATGGTTACCAGGGAGCCAGAATCCCTTTGGGGTCTGAGGCAGTTGGCATGGAGGAAGGGGATGTTCCCTTTCCTTTTTCTCAAGTAGCCAGTAACATCCGTGATAGAAGGCACTGGCTGGGCAGCACCAGAGAGAAGAGAGCTAAAGGCTCGACCACCGGTCAAGATGGCGTTAAAAGTCCGAGCCTTGCCACGGGACTGGAGCTAAGGACACGGTTCAGAAGAGGCCTCGGTCCAAAGAAGGCCCATCCTTCCTTCCACGTCAGAACACCCAGCTCTGGGGCCTCCTCGTTCTGCACAGCAGAGACCTTAAGGCAGTGATGTCAGCACCATCCTTGAACAAACAGCCTCTTCCCACCACAGAATTGCATATTTTACAGCTGAGTTGGCTGGGGATCTCCACAGCTCATGGACTTAGCAGCTAAAGCAATGAACAGTCTCCAGCATAGAGGAGCCGGTCAACCCTGGGAGCTTCCAGGTTCTCGGGGAGCAACCTGGACCGTCTTTTGGACCTAAATGGAAAGATTCTGATATGAAGAGTCAGATGCATGTATTCCTTGGCTGGGTGCGACACAACAGTCCAGGTGCGTGTGCCTGTGGATTCTGACAAGGTCTTGTGCTACATAGGAATCTGAGGGACACACACTTGGGCCCGGGCTCAGCACATATCCTTGATCCGCAGAGCCCCGAAACTTCAGCCTTGCCAGGCAGTTCAGCCTGGATCTCGCCCCACGGGGGCCTCCACGAATGGCAGGAAGAGGACTTGTCCACTTGAGATAAGCAAGGTTCCATGGTCCCTCAGGGTCCATCTTAATGGATCCCAGATCTTCTGTCTCCCAAGTACTAGACATCTCAGCAAAGGCTTCTTTCTAGGTGGCACCTTGGGTTTGGGCTACATTTCTTAGATGATCCTGAGGGTCCAGATAAGCAGGGGCTGTGCACTTAATGGAGCTTAAGATTTCCTACTAGATTGTGAACACAAGGACTCAAGTCTTGCCTTCTTTGCTTTGTTTTGTTTTTTTTTTTTTTTAAACCTGGTGGCTGGCAGACAGGAAGTACTCAGTAAGTGTTTGCTGAGTGAAGGCATGTGGACTGCCAGGCCTTTGGGGCAACTTTTCCTGAGGATGGATCCCTTTGGAAGGCAAATCTTTGCCACGAAATCAAACTCCTTGAGCCTTATATTCTGATTGGGAGTATTTCATATGGATGTCCAGTCTCCTACAAGGGAATATTTACTTGTCAAAAACCAATAGTAAAGGCCAGCTACGGATTTTGGATTCTGTTGAGCAGAATGGCTGCCATTCAGAATAGTGCAGTGGGGCCAAACAGGCCACAAGACAAAAGAATATTTCCAGTTTCCTGGTTTTCATCCAGCCCAGGGTGGAGCTCAGAGTGGATCTTTTCTCAACATGGGGTGACCGACGCTCAGACCGGAGGGTGGCAGCCGAGCTCCGAGGCAGAACGTGTGCTTTCTCAAAAGGGAAGTCAAGGTTCTTCTACTACTCTTGTCTGAGCCAGTGCTTCGTGTCTCCTGTTGAGTCCCAAGGACGCCAGAGATAGTGGCGTGGCAGGCATCTAGCTAGTGCCGATGAGATGGCATCAGATTCTCCGAAGAAAACCCGTGTGGAAAAGCCAAACTAGCCCCAGGAAAAGCAACCCAAGCATTTTGCGGACATGAGAGGAAATGGAAAAAAAAAAAGAAGAAGAAGAAGAAGAAATAATGAAAAGGCAAATAAATAGGCACATGGGAGGGGGGAGGGAAAAAAAGAAATAAAACAAAATGTGAAAATAAAAAATAACAGGAGTAGGGTTTATTGACTCTCACGCATGTTAAATTAGAGGGTACAAGACAGAGCCAACAGTCTTTCTCTGAAGGCTGGAATGCTATTGTTGTGGTCTGGTGACTTCCAGGATAGGCAGCCGTCTTGTCATTGTCCCCTACGTTATCCAGGGATGCACGTTCTCTGCCTTGGCAACTGCTTCCTCTCTCTCCAGCTTCATCTTCTCCTTTTTTCTTTTCTTTCTTTTTTTCTTTTTTTTTTTTTTAAATACCTTTTACAGATTGATTTAAACATTTTTTAAACCACATGCTTCTTTTTTCTGGGCTCCAGCCAGATGTCCGGGGAAGAGTTATTGGCAGTGGTGACGGAATGCAGAAAGGTCTGCGAGAAATTCTGGGGAGCTTCCGCCCCCCTCAGATTCCCCCACACAGGGCTGTCTCTCCCAGAGCTGTTCATGAGAATCGGTTAGGGACTGCTGCAGGGTTTTCTGCTGTCTTCTGAACCCCTCCCCAGAAAGCCTAGGAGTTTATAATGGAGACACGAAATCAAGGAAAAAGACCCAGAATCATCTTTTCCCCAAAGTCATGAGAGGAGGCCAATAAATGTATCTAGGGGACACAAGTTTCCACTCTCCACCCCACCAGTCCTTACTAGGAAGTTCTCAGGGTGCAGCACCAACAAGCTGCTCTCTTCCTTTACCTCCTCCTCCCTCTCCTGTCCTCTTGGGCCAGAGAGCCAGTGCTCTGGAAGAAGAGAGGGGAGAGGAGGAGAGAACGTCGCTGATGTCAGCATTCTGCTGTCCGGGGTGACAGTGACTGCTGGACCCTCAAAGCGTGGCCTGGAGGTTGGGGTCCAGGATGGTTTCTCGATCTGGAGACTCAATGTAATTGGCAGCTTCTTGAAGTTTCAGCAGCATGGCCATCTAAAGAGGGGCAAAAGGGTGGATTCATGAGAGTCGGGACTCAGGGTCCTGCCCACAGACGGGAAACCTAAAGCCACGTGGATCGTCGGTCTGATCCCTGGTTTGTAAGCGATTCAGGGCCCAGAGAGTGGGCAGGTGGCAATGGTTATCTCAGCCCTGTCTGTAAGCATGTGGTGTGATGCTCGGCAGGGTCTCGGCGATGGGAGGCGCCGTGCCGTGTTGCGGGAGGGACGCCCACACAACAGGACGGCCTCTACATCCTGGCTAGTGCTGGGCGGAGGTGAGAACTGGCCCTAAGAACGTCTGTGTCCATCAACCTTCCAAATAGATCGTAACCGAACAGACTCCGTGTTATCATGAGCCGGTCCTGCACACCGCTCCCCCCTCCGCCGGAACAGCCTAGTGCTTCAGGTCACCTCTAAACTCCTCAGTGTATCCACCTCCTTCCTCCTCCTCTTTACCTCTCACACTCCCTTGCTTCTTCAAGACTATGAGCCCCATTTCAGCTAAGGACCCCTGGCTGGTTCTCCCCTGAATCTGCTCTTCACCCTTCTATTTATAGATTTACATGATTATTAACAGTCATCCAGGGTAACGGCTTTTTTTTTTTTTTTACTACAGGTAACACCTGTTTTTAACAAAGTCAAAATTTAAATTAAAATGTATAATGACTAAAATGGAAGAATTTTTGTTTTTTTAAAGTTATATTTAGGTTAAAATAAAATCTTTAAAAAAAAAAAAAAAGGGCAGCCCTGGTGGCCTAGTGGTTTGGCGCCGCCTTCAGCCCGGGGTGATCCTGGAGTCCCGGGATCAAGTCCCACATCGGGCTCCCTGTATGGAGCCTGCTTCTCCCTTTGCCTGTGTCTCTGCCTCTCTCTCTGTGTATCTGTCATGAATAAATAAATAATAAAATAAAATCATTAAAATATATATATATATATATTTAGGTGTGTGTGTGAGAGAGAGAGAGAGAGCGCAAACAGCAGGGAGTGGGAGAGAGAGAAGCACGATCCCCGGCTGAGCGGGGAGCCCAATGCGGGGCTCAATCCCAGCACCCAGGGATCATGACCTGTGCTGAAGGCAGATGCTTAACTGACTGAGCCCCCCAGGCGCCCCTAAAATGGAAGAATTTCTTACTTGTGAGGTAAAACTGCAAGGTCACCGGAATTGTGCACATTGAATTTTAAGACAAACTGCCGAATCATCTTCCAAAATGGCTTTGCTAACGAACACTCCCACCAACTGAATAAGAAGTCTGTGCTCCCCTATGCACTATTTTTGGCGAGGTGAACGGGTTCTCCCCTTGGTCTGGTGTTGCATCTCTACAGTTATTGGAGGGGTTAAGGATCTTTTAATTTGTATTGGCTTTTTGCACTTCTCTAGTCAAATGCCCACTCATATCCTTTGTCCATCCAATTGGGAATTTTATGGGAAGTTTTATATTTTTTAGGTACCAATCCTCTTTTGTTTATAAGCCTTGCAAATATTTGCCCCTAGCTGGTCACTTGCCCACTTTTCAGAGGGGATCATGAAACCCACCGAACCGAGGCAGTCCTCAGGATAATATCCTCAGGATAATACCAGAGTAGACGGAGAGATAGAGACAGAGTGTACACGTGTCCCACTGCTCTCTTTTTTGGTTAACAGTCCTACCTGGCGTCTGCCTGAGACTCAGGCCTTTACTAGAATACATCTTGCTCGCGTGCATTATCATTTAGCTCAAGCTAGGTTGCAGGCATATGATCTTCATAACCCAGGATTCTGACCGTTGACCTCCTCACTGACCTCGTCCTCGTCCTGGCCTTGCTGATACCCTTCAGCCTCCATCAGGGTACGCATGAAAAGTTCGATTTCAGGGACTCCTGGGTGGCTCAGTCGGTTGAGCATCTGACTCTTGATTTCAGTTTAGGTTAGTCTGGTCATGCATTGTGGGATCGAGCCCTGCATCGGGCTCTGTGCACAGTGTGGAGTCTACTCATCCCTCTCCCTCTGCTCCTCCCCCAGCTCACGCATGTGCTCTCTCAAATAAAGAAATAAAATCTTAAAAATAAAAGTTAAGTTCTGTAATACTCTTATTTTCATCTTAGAATGGCTTCTACTCACCAGAGGGTCTGAGTCCAGAGAACTTGGGGTGCTGTCTTTCACTGTCCTATCCTCGGGAGGTGAGGCAATGCTATGAGGGCCCACGGTGGGTGGGGGCAGGTGGTACAGCTTCGATTGGTCTTGTTGGGCTGATGGCCAGGGAAGAGTGTCCCGGACCCACTCCACTGGGTCCTCCCAAGCAGCTTTCTGTCCATGGACCTGGATCGAAGGAGAAATGTGGTTACTGGCAGAGGGATCCACAGATAGGGGCTTGCTCATGCAGTCTCCTGATGGCCAGATGCATTTCCTCAAATGGAAAGCCTTGAGACTCTGATCCCCATGAGCTGAGACTCAACTCCTTTGAGTTTCCCAACAAAGGAAATAAGTTGGTGTAAACAGGTACAAGTCTCCTGGGGGCTAATTTGGCAGACTGTGCTAAAAACTTAATATGTACATGGGGGTGCCTGGAGGGCTCAGTCGTTTAAGTGTCTGACTCTTAATTTCGGCTCCAGTCATGATCTCAGGGATGTGAGATCAAGTCCTGAGTCAGACTCCGCACTGGGCGTGGAGCCTACTTAAGATTCTCTCTTTCCCTCTCCCCTCACCCCTGTTTCTAAAAGCAAAACTAAAACCAAAACAAAACCCACTTAATATGTACCCATCTTATGACCCCATAATTTTAGTAGGGAATTCTTCCACTTTAGTAATCATATCCTTTTTTATTTTAAGATTTTATTTATTTATACATGAGAGACACAGAGAGATGCAGAGAGAGAGGCAGAGACACAGGCAGAGGGAGAAGCAGGCTCCATGCAGGGGACTCGATCCCGGGTCTCCAGGATCATGCCCTAGGCCGAAGGCAGCGCTAAACCGCTGAGCCACCCAGGATGCCCTCATATCCTTTTTTAAAACTTATTTCTTTTTTCTTTTTAAGTAGGCTCTGTGCCCAATGTGGGACTTGAACTCATGACCCTGAGGTCTAAAGTTGCACGTTCTACTGACTGAGCCAGGCCAGGCACCCCAGTAATCGTATCTTTAAAAAAAAAAAAAAATTGACCTTATTGAAAACAGATGTTATCTGTATAAAAACACTTTGAAATCGGAAAACTGTTAATGCAAAATTTGGGGTGCCTGGACGGCTCAGTTGGTTAGGCCTCTGACTTCAAGTCATGATCTCAGGGTGCTGGGGTCGGGCCCCACACTGGGCTCTCCACTCAGCAGAAAGACTACTTGTTCTTCTGTCCCTTGTGCACTCATTCTCTCTCTCAAATAAGTAAATAAATTTAAAAAAATAATAATGCAAAATTAAACGAAATAATGATTTCTGGTATCAGTCTGATAGATAGTGTCTCTAGAAATTTACCACATTATCAGGGGATATCTATTGCAATAATAAATTACTTTTATGGAAAGTACATGGCTAATAGGGTCGAGACACTGCACTGTAGTTCACTAGTGCTGGAATGGATGCTAGTGATCATTACGCCCTAATTCACAGGTTAAAAAAACAAACAGACCTGGGGAGGGAGGCTTTAGTAAAATGACATCTTCCTTTTGCATAAAGTTCTTATTTTCACTTCTAAAAATCTTTTCACATATTTCATGTCTTTAAAACAACCCAGTGATTTAGGCAGAGCAGACTTTATTATCTCCTTTCTCACACAGAAGGATGTTAAAAAGGGTTACGTAACTCGGCCGAAGTAACGTTTTTGTTAGCAGTAAGCTAAGGTTATAATAAGGTTTTACTTAATTCTAAGCTCAATGATTTCTCTATTAGCTCTGATCCTTTTTTTTTAAAAAAAAAAAAGATTGTATTTATTTATTCATGAGAGACACATATAGAGGCGAAGACATAAGCAGAGGGAGAAGCAGGCTCCCTGCGGGGAGCCCGATGGGGGGACTCAATCCCAGGACCCTGGGGTCATGCCCTGAGCCCAAGGCAGACACTCAACCACTGAACCACCCAGGGGCCCGAGCTCTGATCCTTAAGAGAGGTCTGTGCTTGGCATAGAGCCAGAAGGCCCAGGACTAGACACAGGCCCCCGCAAAGACAGTGGTCCTGTAGCCATTTGCTGAATGGTGGATGGACGCCGCGCCCTACTCTACGTGTTAGCCAGAGAAGCTAACAAGTCTCAGTAGCCTCATGTCTAACATTGAAGAGATGTTTCTGCCTTGTTGGGAGGGGCAGCCTGACCTTGGGGACTGAGCAGAATCAGGGGCTCACCTTGATCCCATCCTTCGCTCCTTCCTGTAGGTAGGGGATGATAGAATTGTTCCACAGGTCGATGAACCAGGTCCGGAAGTCCTCAATGCCAATGGGACAGGAAAGAAAGAAGCAAGGGCCTAGGGAAAAGGATGAGGCCATTAAGAAGGCTGAGCACGCAGCTCTCCGCAGTCCTCTGTCTCTTCCACTCCCTAATACGAGCAGAGGGGTCCCATAACCGGAGGAGGAGCCGAGCGCCCCGAGATCATTGTCAAGACCAGTGGGAGTGGGCGCCCGGCCGGCACGCTCATGACGGTGCTTCTTCACAAGGTGCGGGGGGGTGGGGGGAGCGAGGGCAAGTTTTCCAATTCCCTCCTAAACACTTTCCTATCTTTTCCCCATTCGCTGTGGGGAAACATGAGGGAGCGGGCTTCGCTTTCTGATGATCGAAGTGATTTACCCAAACCACGGTGCTAACTTCGAGGGAAACGCTTGGTAAGTAATTAAGTGGTCCTGGGTCTGAAGCCACGAGGCTTGCCACTCCTTTACATGCTGAAGATTCCAGAAAGAAATGGGAACATCCCACTGGGTGGCAAAGCAGGAAAGGGAAGCCACCTTCCGACCCCAAGGGGCAAGCTGAAGCCCAGTACCGATGAGGAAGTCTGAGGTGCTGTGCTTCTCGAGGAAGGTGTGGAGGTGGTACCACAGCTTGGGCACCCAGTCGAGCACCCGAAGCAGCTCTTCCTTGTTGGCGTTGATGTCGCTGTCCGACTCTACCAGCTTCCTCCTCAGGTAACGAACCAGGAAGCCATTGGCCGGCTCCACGTTGTTGGAGAAGGTCAGCATCCTGCAGCCAGCGATGGGAGAGGGGTCAGGGCGGCCACGCGGACGTTGCTGCCGTTCATCCCCTGCCCGTCCGTCCCTCCTGCCTGCTTCCCACTAGTGGCCACTGGGTTTCTTTTCAAGTAATAGCAGAGTGAACTGAACCAGGGCAGTAGCTGATTCCCAAACCAGTGCCCCTCTTCAGAAAGCACCTGACCTCACCGACCAGATGAGGAGGTGTGCGAGCAGAAAACCCGAATCACAGCATCCCAGCCGCAGCTCTCTTAGTATGGCAGTTCTTTTCTCTTCTCGAGGGTTCTCTTCCACCCCGTAACTGACGCGGCAAACGTCCCTACTCTCCCTTCCCAGCTCCTTCCTTGTGCTACCTACTGCCCCTCTGGCCAGATCCTGGGGTTTAACCAGCTTCTCTTAGAATCTTAGGTAGGGTTGAGAGGTTTATCCAGGGTCACAGCTCTTACCTGAAGCTCAAGTGTAAGCCATGATTAGGTGTCATTTTTACAGGCTGATTGGTGGTACCTATGATATAAGGACTGTGGGAAGAAGGAGGAAAAATGTTTACTTAGACTTGCCTTAAACCTTGCTTTCCACTAAAAAGCAAGGGTTTCCACTAGGAGAGCCGGCACCGGGCTCTCCTTCATCCCACTGTGGTGGGTTTGGGCCTTACCATTTGTGGTACTTGCAGGTCAGAGCCCCATTGACCAGCTCACTGATGGACCCTGCTTCACTCAGGTCATCCAACAGGATCACCAGGGGGACATCCCCGATTCCTGTCTCCCGGTCTATCTGGTTGGCCAGGTTGGAGAGATACAGTTGCAGATCCTGAAATGAAAGAAGTAAGTGGGTCAGCACTCAGGAGACTCAGGAGTAGTGAGCACTTGGCTCTGCCTTGGGAGGAAGGGTTTTGGAGAAGCTCTGCTAGTTCTGGATTTCCCTGAAGACTTTGGTTCCTGTTTGAACGTTCAATTGTAAACCCAGGCTACCGTGGACTGATAGACAGTGGTCCCAGAGGCTCTAAGACAACCGTCTTGTTTTTTATGTTTATTTAAAAATTTTTGAAAAAAGATTTTATTTGATAGAGAGCGAGAGAGAGCAGAAGCAGGGGGAGCAGTAGGCAGAGGGAGGAGGAGAAGCAGGCTCCCTGCTGTGGGGCTGACCCCAGGACTCCGGGATCATGATCTGAACCAAAGGCAGATGCTTAACCGACGGAGTCACCCAGGTGCTCCTCTAAGACAACGGTCTTAAGAAGCAGCTCCTGGATCCCCGAAGAGTGGGGATCATAATCTATTTCTAAAGCGATTTTCACGGGGCAGGTACCCTGAGCCACTCCAATGGATATGCCTCCTCCTACTGGGGCGAGCCAAGGTTTGAAGCCACTCCAGGGTGTTGGGGTGTGCTCCAGACATCCAGATTTGGCAGGGATGGCACAAGGCGTAACATGTAATTCTGAGTTCTCCCCAGGAAGCCCAAAGTCAGAGTAATACTGAAAAGAACAGTAGAGAGAGAAGGAAGCAAAAGGAAGGACGGGATTTTGGGGTTGGTGAGGTGGAAATGGGGATGCAGTTTAGTCAATGGTCAGTGAAAGGAAAAGCACAGAACAGAGGCAAGGGGAAGTGCGGAGGAAGAAGGGGAGGGAAAAGTCTGGAGAGAAACTGGGGGCAGAGGATGCACTAGAAAAGGAGAATGCGATGGCGTGCAGGGGGAGGAGGCGAGAACAGTGGAGGGGAAGATTCAGGCGGAGGAGAGGAGAGGGAACAGAAGGGGCAGGAAGGGGCCCGGGGGAGGCCTCCAGGAGGCCGAGGCCCGAGCAAAGGCTGGCGGGGTGTCACGAGGCAGCCACCTTGCAAGACTGCTGGTGCATGTTGAAGGTGCTGACGATGCCCTCGGTGACCTCGCGGCCGGAGCGCTCCACCAGGTACTCGGCCAGCCGGTTGGTCAGGTAGGTCTTCCCCGTGCCGCTGGGGCCCGAGAGGACGAGGCGCCGGTGCTTGAGCAGGAGGCTTATGTAGTGCTGCATCATCGGCTTGGGGACCAGGGTCTCGAACACCAGGCTGTCGACGCACTTCTCCTTCAGACCTGAACCCCCAGCCCCAGAGAGCATGAGCCACGACCAGGGCCCCGAGGATGGCAAGGGCCCCCCAAAGGGCGTATCTTTCTTCACCTAGGACCCTGCCGAAGGAACTCAGAGCCCCCTGCCCCGGGGTTCCATGGGAATCTCCTAATTCCGAGTGTTGAAACATAGATCTTATTTTTAGGGACATGTTCTGAGTTATGGGTGTGTGGGTGGAGTGAGAAACCCAGGCTTTCTAGAAATTTCCCTGGGCATGAAAATGGCCCTGTGAACAAAAGTTAGGACTGGATCCCACTCATCTTTTTTTTATAATCTCATGTTACTTAAGTACAGTGACCTGGCACACATAGCTTCTCAGTAAAGTCCTCGTTTTTTTTTTTTTTAAACTTTTTTTTTAATTTTTTATTTATTTATGATAGTCACAGAGAGAGAGAGAGAGAGAGGCAGAGACACAGGCAGAGGGAGAAGCAGGCTCCATGCACCGGGAGCCCGACGTGGGATTCGATCCAGGGTCTCCAGGATCGCGCCCCGGGCCAAAGGCAGGCGCCAAACTGCTGCGCCACCCAGGGATCCCAAGTCCTCGTTGAATAAACGCGTGACGCATTATCTGATGTTCCCCTCCTCTCACCCCGTATCGCTGCACCCCAAAAGACAAAGACCGACCTTTGAGGGAGACTGATATGTTGTTGACGCCTCGGCGGCAGGGAGGCATCTCCGGGGGCTCCGCATCCAACACTCGCTTCACGTGGCTGATGCTGTAGCCGTGGATGGACTCGGTGCTCAGTCCCAGGGTGGAGGCTGGGTCCATCTTGGAAATGTAGTCCTAACAGAAGAGAAAAGGAGAAAAAGAAAAAAAAAAGAGAGGATCACCAAGATGATGCAAACCCAGATGTACCAGCCACAGATTTCGGAGGAAAGAGGAGTAGATAGATGGAGGGAGCGAAGAACCTATGTTTTTCCCAGTTAGCATTTCCCCAGGAAGCATCCCGGCGGGATATCCCAGGAGAGGATGAACCACCTTTAGAGGACACGCATCACTTTACCTTGAACACTTGGAAAACAGCTTCATCCAGCATCTTCCAGTCAACTTTTCCACTGACCTTGCTACAACCGAGGAAGAATTCCTGCTGCTTCAAGTCCTAGACGGCCAAGGGAGAAGTGTGTGAGCCTCAGTGCCGTCACTCCAAGAAAGGAGGGGTGCTCCTAAAAGGCCTTGGAAGTGGGGTGCTCCGGTTTGGGGGATACACAGAGCCCAGACGTTCTTGGATAAAAATAATAGTGTCACCAGGCCTCCCCGAAGAGCCTTACCCCTTTGATGATGTGCTGGGGGGGCATCCGCACCACCACCCGAAGGGTCACTTCCTCCTTTGGACCACAGGTGCTGATGCCATCCATGGGTGACAGGTCTGTCGGCAGCGAAAACAACTATTGGCTCTAGGGGCACCCACAGGCCTTCCTAAACCTTCCGGTCATCAGCCCTTCCAAAGAACCATTTACTACCAAGAGGAAGCAGAAGCTCCAAAACTGAAAAGCAATTAAGGTTGCAGGACCAGAACAACTCTCCAGGTCTCGCGACACCGGGGTCGCCTCGGTTGAGGCACGTTAACCTCCGTGACCCGAGAGCGGTGCCACCGGAGCGAGTGGAACGCTGTGCCGGTGAGCCAGACCCTCTTCTTCTCGCCACCCGGAAAGGTTCTTCTCCCAAACAGGTACCTGTGTCGGTGAGGCTGGGGCTGGAGGAATGGGTGAGCGCAAGGCCCAGGGAGCGGCGAGGGGATGCTAGAGCCGACGATCCGGGGACCTGCCCTGGAGTGGAGCCTGACGAGGGGCCCGGGGCTACCTTCAGCCGGTCGTTCTCCGCCTTCAGCAGGTCCACCTCCAGCTGCGGGAGAGCAGACACGGCGGGGCCGCAGAGTTGGGACGGGCCCCAAGGCCCCCGCTGCCCTTTCCTCCGCTCCCGCCAGGCTACGCACCTGCATGTTGTGCATGGTCTCCCGAAGCTGGTCCAGCTGGTGGGCCGAGTTGAGGGCTTCTAAGCGGATGTCTGTGAGCTTCATCTCTTTCTCCCACAGCTCGGAACGCAGTTCCGATACCTCCTTCTTCTCGGGTTCCTCTTCCTCATTGGCGTGGAACAGTCTGGTGTGGGGCACCGGGTGAGCAGGGCCCCTGGAAGAAAGCAAGAATGAGGCCGGGGCCCGCGGGGCAGCTCCAGGGTTACGGGGGGACTCTGGGACCCGTGGTTGGTGGACTCAGAGGTCATCAGGAGTGCGAGGGGAGGCCCACCCCGGCCTCACACACCCCGGGAGAGGCCTGCAGTGCGGTGTCGTTTGTCCAGGGGCGAACCTCTGGCCAGCAGTGCGTACCGGTCCCCGGGCTGGGTGGCGGGCAGACAGCACTTACTCGGTGACATCAATGCCCACAGAGGAGGAGTTGGAGGACTTGATGGAGGGCGAGGCGGTCTCCGTGGAGCCGTGCTGTAGTTTGGGGGATGACGGGGCGGAGGAGTCGGGTGTGGCTATCTCCTCGATGTCGGAGTACGAAGAAGCTGACTTGGGTCCCTTTTTTATGCTGAAGGCTTTGTTGAAGGAACTTCGCAGCTGGAAAAAAGCAGATCCAGGTAGGGAGACGTCAGGGCTCCACTCGGGAGCCTGGGGAGGACTGCTTCGGGATTTCTGAGACAGAGGTGTACAGGCAGGGTGTCTGCTGGCTGTAATTAAGCCTCCCTCTTAAGGCGCCACTTGATTCATGGACGTGGACAGAAGAGTTGCCTAGAAATCAGGGCTGAGAGAAGTGAACTGTTCTGGCTTGCTGTTGTTGCAGGCTCTGGGAACTCCTAGGGTCTGCTCTCTCCCGTGGGGGAATATGCCCCCGAGGGGAACGCACAGAAGCCCCCGAGGTCACATGGTGGCCAGTCTCTCAATGATCCAACCCACCTTCTCCAGCAGACCAATTACTGCTCAGGCTAGAGCCTCCCTCACTTTGGGTCTCAGGACCCACCGCGCCATGGCTCATCAGATCAGAATCCATTTACCTATCTACCTATTCACCAGAAACTGGCAGTACGATTCTGTGGAAATCGACTGAAGGGAGTAGCATCAACTTTCTTTTAGTGTCTCTTGGGCCCAGCACATCCCAGAATGGTTAAAACAATCAGATGCAAGTGCTGTCTGCTATCTATTCCCACTCAAGTGTCCTAGAGTAAGGAATGTTTCCCAGCATTTCCTCAGAATACTTGGGATACCATAATCCGACCACAGCTTGTTTGACCTTCGGTGTTGATGAGCTTGGGGGGTTAGGGCAGTGAGCTAGAGATGCGAACCAGGGGCCTGTCCCTCCCGTTCACATGCATCCATATAGCATGCACACACACACAGGGTCACAGATATGGAATGGCAGCAAGAGACAGAGAGTAAAGGAGGGGTCGAAGGCTGTAGGGGACAAAAGCAAACCAGATCTCTGGGACAGTGAGACAAAAGAAAGGAAAATTTGAGGATACTCTTTCCAAATGTCTCTTCTATAACACAGGAAGGCTGTTAGGTGAAGGAGCAGAGCTGAGGGCGTGTTGGGGTGTCTACTATGTAGGACGTAAAGGAGGCCCGATCTGGCTGTGATGGGGATATGAGAGAGAGAGAGCATGCGTGCAGGTGGCTAGAGTATGCGTGCAGGGGAGAGGTTATCGCGGAGGAGTCAAGGCTTGAGAATCCCACTGGGCTCGGTTCTGTGTAGAGACGAGGAACCCAGGGTGGAAAGTGGACTTGCTCGAGATTGTGGAATTGAAGGAAGGCCTGGGGCTGGAACTCGGCCTTCCTCATTTTCAACCCAACGGTCTCTACGTTGCTGCCTCATGGGAAGCTGTGTGTATATGACGGAGACACAGAAAGGGAGTGGGTGTGTGTGTGCATGAGTGTGTGCGTGCACGGAAAGAGATCCTGTGACCACAATCGGCCTGAAGCACATGTCCTGTAAGATCACGAAGACCCTGAGAGAGAGACAGGACTGCTCTCTGTGTCATTCGGGGTTCCCACAGCACAGCCGCTGGCAGATGATCCCTGGTGTTACGTGGGGAGGGATTCCCCGAGTTCATGGACCGAGCAAAACGAAACAGACTCCCTACTCAGGCACATCTCAGGACGTCCCTATGCGGATATGCACTGGAGGGCTTCTCAGATGGGATATGGCGTCACTGTGTGAGGGAGCACTGCCACGGACTAGCGCACAACACACTCTGGGAAATGCCAACCTGAACAGTCAAGTTTAAGTAAGTCTCCCGGCATTTTAGGCCCTTCATATCGGCACCCCGCCCTACTCAGTGCCCTGGCTACACTGGTTTCCTCCTCCGACCAGGCAGGTCCACGTAGAAAGCATCTCAACACGCTCTCCTACCATAGTCCCATCTCGGTTTAGCTTTTTCCTCCTCTGTGGGGTTTCCCTGCTCTTCTGTAATTAGTTTCGTCCATGAGCGCCTCTAGCACTCCTTGGCGGAAGTCAGCATTTCAGCACCGCTGGATTGTTCCCAATACCATATGTACACTCTTGGTTTTTGGTTTCCCCAGCAATTCTGCAGGCCCCTGGGTGGTTCCGATTACACTCTCCACCTTTCCCCATCCTTTCTAACACCTGGCACAATGGTGGGCTAGGTTAGTGGAGCTCAGATGTCTGGTTCGTAACGGAAAACATGGAAAATCTGGGTTCACTTTCTGCTTGTGAGACTACGTGAATCCCTGAAAGGTCTTTGGAAACTCCATGGATGCTCAGGTTTCAGGGCTTCAGGTTTTTGGGTGGTTTCAAGGTGCCCTGGACTGGATCATATCCTCTCCTATCTCTGGTTCACCTCCTTGTAGAGCTAAATCCTCAGGTGAGACCCAAACTGAACCGGCCTCTGGAAACTGCGGTCGAAATAATGTTCATCTAATGATTCTCTTCCATTTTGGGCTTCCAGGGTTTGAAGGAACAAAAAACAACAACAACAACAACAAAAAAATCAGAAAACTTGTTTCCTGGGTAGGAGGAACTCAAATTGCAATTATAACAGGCTGATTTTGTAACAAGGGGAAGACAGGAGGGAATAGATCAGGATTTTGTTTAAATTTCCCATTTGGCCCCCAACCAGACCACTCCTCTGTCCTCATATGGGGCAGCCGTGGATGGACCATGCAGTGGAGTGAGTTAGGAACTCCGGGGTGGTTGTTACGGTTAGTTTTATGAGTGGTCGCTCTTTCTTTAGGGGGAAGGAGTTGCTCTGGAAATGGGGAAGGGATGGCAAAAGGAAAGAGAAAACAAGGAGAGAGGAACTGGGTCTCTTACCTCATAGACCTGGAAAAAAATAGGGATTTGAAGTCAGCATTTTGAAGGGAAAAAAAAAGAAGCAACACTTAATCACTCATTTCACACAGCTGGGACCCATCTGTGCTATACAAAGATTTGGGGGCCAGTCCTACTGAACAGGGGACAGAGGAGCGAGAAGTCTCCATCTGGGGATCCTCTCCTTACCACAGGCAGCAGAGGAGCAAAAGGTGTTTTAGATCTGCCTACGGAATTTCAGAAAGGGCATCCAAAGTCAGTTTAGGGCTACCAGGAGCCAGCTAGGGGGTTTGGAGGGGTGGGGGACTATGTCTGGGCTAGTCAACAGGAATACAAAGGTTCCTTTGGAAGTAATATGGAAAATTCCAGCAATACCTCTCCAAAAAAATTGAAGAAATGACCTGCAGGAGCATCTAGAATGAATGGCTTTGTTCAGAAAATCTTCTCTCCATAGTATAGAAGGGAATGGGGGTGGGATGGGCAAAGGGCTTGACAGGACGTTCCCTTCTGGATATTTCCTTCTGTTGCCAAACACATTTGACCTACCCAAAGGTGTGGAGAGCCCAGGGAAAGTGGGTGTGGATACAGGGTTGGAGGGACGGCCTTGGTGCAAGTGGGGAGTGAGGGGGAGAACAGGGAGTTTAGCGGACCTTGCTCTGAGCAGAAGCCTGGGGCTTCCTATCAGCCCCAAGGAACCATATCTTGGTTAATTCTGGAAGGAGCCGATCCCTATGCTGAGGTGGAGATGACCCACCATGGCTCTACATGGTTCCCGCCCCCAAAACTTCAACCTACCCAGCTCTTTTTTTTCTTCTTTTTTGCATCAGCATCCTTGCTGCTGCCAATGCTGGAATGGCTGGTGATGCTGTTGAGGCTCGAGATGCTATCCGAGGAGTTCTGTCTCTTGATCCGGAGTTCTAGGGACCACGTACAAGTGGGAAGAAGACACACGGGGGAGATTTAAAGAAGACATGAGACTTATGGCAAGTGCAGCTGCAGAAGGTGTAAGAGAAGGGCACCAGTAACTCCTATGTCCACATTATTCATTTTTGGGGTCATTCTATCAACAAATATTTATTGAGTGCCAATTATGTTTCCATAACAAAAAAAATGCTAATGGTAAAAAATGAATGATCCCTGTTCTCAAGAAGCTTCCAGTCCAGTAGGATAAATACCAGGTACACAAACTAGTGAACTCAGTCTGAATAGGTGCGAGAAGGGCTTAAGGAAAGCTGTCTTTGATGGAAGACATCAACCTATCATTTTTTTAAAGTAAAGTCTACCCCCAGCATGGGGCTCGAACTCACCACCCCGAGATCCAGAGCTGGACACTCTACGAATGAGCCAGCGAGGTGCCCCTCAGCCTACCATTTTCATGATTTTCCCCAGCAATACTCTTCAGCTGCCTGGTGCTCCAAGGCCAAGTGTAACTAGCCATGTGTCCTGCATTTAACCGCTATGAGCTTTAGTTGTCTCATCTGGCAGGTAGAAAATCTTCTCCGCCCCAAGGAGGTTTGGAATGGCACAAAACATGATCTACTTTTCCACCACAGGGAGGGAAAAAGTTAACCAAGGAGGAGATGGTTCAGTCTTGAGAGAACAGAAGTTCTTCAGATGGGAACACTGGAAACCCACATAGGGCTGAAGAGAAAGCACATGCAAAGGCCCTGTGCGGGGCTCCGGCTTTGCTTTGGGGAACCTCAGGCAGACTGGAAGGGAAGGAGCCCAAGGAGCACGGCGAGGGGAGAGGGTGGAGGTTAGGCTCAGGTCAGACCGGGAGAGCCCTGAATGCCTTTTAAAGGAAATCTGCCTGTGTGCCATAGGGAATGAGCAAGGGCAGCAGAGATCCTGGAGCAAAAGCAGAATATAACCAGATATACTTTTTAGAGAGGGAGCGAGAGCGAGAGGAGAGCATGCAGTGACCGGACGGGCGGAGGGGGAGAGAGCAAATCCTCAGGCAGGTCCCCCCGGAGCATGGAGTCCAACGCAGGACTCGATCCCTGGACGCCGAAATCACGACCTGAGCCGAAATCAAGAGTTGGACGCTTACCTGACTGAGCCCCCCAGGCGCCCCAAATACAATCAGATTTTTAAGCCCTTATTATTTTGAAATAATTGCAGACTCACGTACAAAGAACAATACAGACAGGTTGCGTGTACCCCGCGGCCAGCGTCCTCCGATGTTAGCACCTTCTCTAACTACAGATTCTAACTCTAACTAAGATTCGTATTTTTCCGTAGCACTTCCTACGTTACCACGGAGAAAGAGGCGGAGGGAAACCAGAGTAGAGGTGGGGGACTGGTCAGGTGGCGATGTGCAGTTGTCCTTCTAGAAATAAGAGCTGTTCAGCGAAGATGTGGGTAGTTGCTGGTTATTTTCTCAGTCTCCGTGACCGTGAGTGCCTCTTTAATCTTCCCTTCATACTACTGAGGAAACAAGATCCTAGGATCTACCAAAGCTCACGAAGCACACGGAAAACCCTTTTTCAGTGATTACCCAACCACGTTTATGATACTCCGGAGTACCTCCACTTATTCTAGGGCCGTGGAAAATTCTCAAGAGAACATGCTGACTTGACGTAAAGAAATTTCCATTTGTATAAAAATGGATACATGTATCCATATTTATTTGTTGGTTTATGCAGAAGATTATTTCTAGAAAGAGTCACAAGAACTATTAATAGTAGTTACCTCTGGGGAGTGAGATGTGGAAGTGGGGGTTCAGGGAGAGGGATTTTATATTTTACCACATACCCTTTTGTTCAGTTTACATCAGGGGCCGAGAGACTTATGGTAAAGGACCAGAGAGTAAATATTTCAGGCTTTGCAGCCATACGGTCTGTTATACCTCATCAGCAATGCTGTTGCTGCATTAAAGCAGCAGAGACAATATGTAAAAATTGAGTGTGCCTGTGTTCTAGTAAAATTTTATTTAAAAAACAGGTGATGGGCACCTGGGTGGCTCAGTGGTTGAGCATCTGCCTTTGGCTTAGGTTGTGATCGAGTCCTGCATCATGCTCCCCGCAGGGAGCCTGCTTCTCCCTCTGCCTGTGCCTCTGCCTGTCTGTGTGTCTCTCATGAATAAATAAGTAAAACAATATTAAAAAAAAACAAACCCACAGGTGGTGAGGGCACCTGGATGGCTCAGTCTAGTTAAGCTTCCAACTCTTGATTTCAGCTCAGGTCATGATCTCAGAGTCACGAGATTGAGTCCTGCATCCGGCTCTGCACTTAGCACAGAGTCTGCTTCAGGTTCTCTCTCTCTCTTTCTCTGCCCCTTCCACTTCTCTCTCTCTCTTCTGAATTAAATAAATCTTAAAAACCAAAAAACAAAACAGGTGGTGAGCCAGATTTGGCCAATGGGACATGGCTTCCTAACGACCCCTAGCTCACATTTTCCCTCTAGAACATGTATTGCTTTTATGATAAAAATAAGTTTAATTTAAAAATGAGTTAATATGGGACGCCTGGGTGGCTCAGTGGTTTAGCACCTGCCTTCCACCAGGGCGTGATCCTGGGGTCCCGGAATCGAGTCCCACATCGAGCTCCCGCATGGAGCCTGCTTCTCTCTCTGCCTGTGTCTCTGCCTCTCTGTCTCTATGTCTCTCATGAATAAATAAATAAAATATTTAAAAAGTAAAAAAATAAAAAGAAAAATGAGTTAATTAAAAATAAAATGGGGGCACCTGGGTGGCTCACATGGTTAAGCATCTGCCTTCAGCTTAGGTCATGATCTCCGGGTCCTGGAATTGGGCCCTGCAATGGACTCCCAGCTTAGCGGGGAGTTTGCTTCTCCCTCTGCCCCTGCCTCTCCCCTTGCTTGTGTTCTCTCTCTCTCTCTCTCATTCTCTCTCTCTCAAATGAATAAATAAAAACTTCTTAAAAAAATAAAATGAAGGGCAGCAAAATAAGTGTATGTATCTATTACCAGTTAGTGGTTCCAAGTAGTTGTGAGTCTATCAATTAAATTTTAAAACTATGCTATATAGTACTTTCAGAAGCAAAGGATGTTTTAGAATCAAATAATCTTCAAAAGGTTAGGAACTCTTTTGTGCATTTTTAATTTTGTGCCACATACATGTATTATCTTTTCACAAATAAAATAAGGGTAGGCATCACTGCTTTGAGCATTAGCTTGTTGAATGTTCCTAGAAATCCCCTGACCAAGTTGAGTCTGGGTCAACCTGAACAAAGGAAAACATTCGAACTCATAGCAAAAGACAGAATTCATTCATTCACTTAACAAATATATATCTGAAAAGTAATGTATACTTGGGAAATGAAATAGCTTAATATTCCAGATTCATCACTTATGAACTATGTTTGACCAAGTGACTGATTTTCTCTGATCTGATTCTCAAATATCTATCTATCTATCTATCTATCTATCTATCTATGTTATATATATAACTCAATGGCTTTATATGGTGAACCAGTGAGACATAAAAGATGACTCTTGGGGATGCCTGGGTGGCTCAGCAGTTTAGCACCTGCCTTCAGCCCAGGGAGTGATCCTGGAGACCTGGGATCGAGTCCCACATCAGGCTCCCTGCATGGAGCCTGCTTCTCCCTCTGCCTGTGTCTCTGCCTCTCTCTCTCTCTCTCTCTCTCTCTCTCTCTGTGTGTGTGTCTCTCATGAATGAATGAATAAAAATCTTAAAAAAAAAAAAAAGATGACTCTTACATTAGTGATTTGGGTGACCAGGCAGCAGATGATAAAAACTGAAATGGGTAAAACTACAGAAGAGAAAGTGTTGGTTTGTCTATTTGTAAGGAAAGTGGAGAGAATGTCTTTTAATGCTGGACATGTTGAGTTAGAGACACCACCTATCAGATGATCTAAGTGGGAATGTCCAAAAGTGTTTGGAAATAGAGGTACAAAATTCAGGATGGGGATACAGGTTGAGAGGACAGAGATACATATTAAGAGGAGGTTGTAAAACTTATTTGAGCTAATAAACTCAGCAAAGTTTGTTGGATACAAGACAAATATATAAAAAAATCTATTGTATTTCTATATACTAGTCATGAATAATCTGAAAAGGAAATTGGTAAAACAGTTCTATTTACAACAGTATCAAAAACAAATTTAATAAAAGACTTATATACTGAAAACAGCAAAATGCCACTGAAGGAAATGAAGGAGTATTTAAATAAATGGAAAGGCATGCCATGTTCATGGAAGATCTATTGTTAAGATGGTGATATTTTCCAACTCCATATACAGAGTTAACACAATCCTTCTCAAAATCCCAGCCTGCTTATCTGCAGAGACTGACAATCAATCTGATTATAGAATTCACATGGAAATGTAAAGGGCACAGGGTGGACAAAACTATCTTAAAAAAGAACAAATTTGGAAGACTAAGACTTCTTGATTTTAAAGCTTACTACAAAGTTATAGTAATCAAGCAGGGTGGTACTGGTTAAGGACACACAAAGAATGGGATAAACTGACAGTCTAAAAATAAACTTATATTTATGGTTAAGTGATTTCCTACAAGGGTGCCAAGATCATTCAATGGGGAAAAATAGTCTTTATAACAAATGGTGCTAGGACAACTGGAAAGCCATTTACAATGGAATGAAGTTGGATCCCTACCTCACACCATATATGAAAATTAACTCAAGATGGGCCAAAGATCTAAATGGAAGGGCTAAAACTAGAAAACTTTACAAGACAACATAAGAGTAAATCTTCATGACTTTGGATTAGACAATAGGGTTTTTATATATAATACCTGAAGTATAAAAGAAGAAAAGGAAAAACTAGATAAAATATACTTCATCAAGATAAAAAAGTTTTTGTTCTTCAAAGGACACTATCAGGAAAGTGAAAGCAATCCACAGAATGGGAGAGAGTATTTGTAAATCATACCTGATAAGGGTCTAACATCCAGAATATATTAAAAACCCTTACGACTCAACAGCAAAAAAGACAAATAATTAAATTTGATTAAAAAGTAGGCCTAGATTTAAATAGACATTTCTCCATAGATACACAAATGATCAATAAGCACACTAAAAGAATACTCAGTATATCCTTAGCCATCAAGGAAATTCACATCAAAATCACGAGACACCACTTCACATCTACTAGGATGGCTCTAACAAAAAAAAGGCAGTAGCAAGTGTTGGCAAGGATTTGAGAAATCGGAATCCTCATGCACTGCTGGAAGGAATGTAAAATGGTGTAGCAATTTTGAAAACCAATATGGCAGTTCCCCAAAAAGTTAACATAAAGCTACCATGTGCCCCAGCAATTCCACTCTTAGGTATATACCCCAGAGAGCTGAAAACGTATGTTCACACAAAAGCTTGTAAGTGAATATTCATAGCAGCATTCTTCATGACAGACAAAATGCGAGAACAATCCAATGTCCATGAACTGATGAAAAGATTAAAAACGTGGTATGTCCACACAATGGAAGATTATTCAGCCATAAAGGGAATGAGGTACTGATATAGGATATAACATGGATGATTCTTGAAAACATTATGCTAAATGAAAAAGCCAATTACAAAAGAGCACATATTGTATGATTCCATTTCTATGAAATGTCCACAATAGGCAAATCCACAGCATCAGAAAATAATAGATCAGTGGATGCTGAGGACTGAGGAGGGAACAGAAAGTGATTGCTATGGATAGGAGATTTCTTTGTGGGTGGGGAAAATGTTCTGGAATTAGATGATGGTAATGGCAGTAAAGATGCTAAAAACTACCGAATTACACCCTTTATAAAGGTGAATTTTATGGCATGCAAATTACATCTCTGAAAGTTCAAAAGGAAAAAAGAAGAGGTTATAGAAGCCACAAGATGGATGTGAACACTAAGGAAAGTGTGTAGAGTCATTAAAAAACGGCTGTGGCTGGGCACCTGGGTGGCTCAGTCAGTTAAGCGTCTGACTCTTGATTTTGGCTCAGGTCATGATCTCAGGGCTTTGGAACTAAGCCCCGTGTGGGGCTCTGGGCTGAGCACAGAACCTGTTTAAGGGACGCCTGGGTGGCTCAGCAGTTGAGCGTCTGCCTTTAGCCCAGGGCCTGATCCCCAAGTCCTGGGATGGAGTCCCACATCGGGCTCCCTGCAAGGAGCCTGCTTCTCCCTCTGCCTGTGTCTCTGCCTCTCTCTGTCTCTCTCATGAATATATAAATAAGATATATTTTTTTAAAAGAGAACCTTTTTAAGATTCTCTCTCTCCTTGTCCTGCTGTGCCCCTCCCCTTACTCATGCACTCTCTCTCTCTCACTCTCAAAGAAAAAAAAGAAAAAAGAAAAAAGAAAAAAGAAAAAAAAGCCCAGACCTTAAAGACAAACTGGAAGGAAGGAATGGATTCTGTGAAGGAGTCAGATGAGGTAGGACAAGGCCAAGATGGGAATGATGACTCAGAAGCCATGGGGAGAACTTAATGAAGGAAGGAGACCTTAACAGGACCAGATATTGGAAATCTTGAGATATTGCCTATGTATGTGTGTGTGGCACAAGTGTGTGTGTGTGTGTGTGTGTGTGTGTGTGTGTGTGTGTGTGTAGAAGAGGGTTTTTTTGAGCACCTACTACATGCCTGGCTCTATGGTGAATGTTCACATAGATCTGACTTGATACAACAGACTTCTGGTTAGGGATTATGTCTATTTTACATAAGTAAACTAAGTACTAAAAATTATTAAATTCTGAAAAAAAAAAGGGGGGGGGGAAGCCTGGGTGGCTCAGTGGTTGAGCGTCTGCCTTTGGCTTCAGAGTCCCGGGCTCAAGTCCCATATTGAGATCCTTGCATGGAGCCAGCTTCTCCTGTCTCTGCCTCTCTCTGTGTCTCTCATGAATAAGTAAATAAAATCTTTTAAAAAATAAAAATTATTAAATTTTGGGAAAATGGGTGTCCCTGGTGATTTCAGTGAAAGCGGTCTTAGAGTGATAGTAATGCAAGCAAATTATAGTGGGGTTAGGTGGGAAAGAGAACAGGAAGGTAAGGTGGTGAAGGAAAGAAGGAAATCTATCCAGTAGAAAGGATATAGTGGCTACATCCTTTGCCTTCCTTAAAGATAAAAGAGACTTTAGGAGCATTTCAAGCAGAAGGGAAGGAGCAAATGCAGAATAAGAGGTCAAAGATGCAGAAAAGTGTGTCTGTGTGTGTGCACACGCAGACGAGTTGGGTATCAGTGCTAGAGGGAGCATCCCAAAGCGTGACGAAAGGGATCCCTCTTGGCCAGAAAGGACGGCCCCTTCCAGGAAAACGGGAGAAACATAAAGGATCAGATGAATATAAATTGATGGAATAAGGAAGTCAATGGAGTTAGTTCCTACTTGAAAATGTTCATTTTCTTGGTTAAGGAGGAGACAAAGTCTAGGTTCAGAGGGAGGCAGGTCAGCAGCAGAGTAAGGGGCCGGAGAACATGATGGAAGTTGGGGATCTCTGCTAGTGGGATACAAAGGCGGACAGACTACAGACAAGTGAGGGGACCACCCCACTACCCTGGAAGGCTGCCTGGAGTCAGAGGTTGCAGGGTTCAGGGGCATCAGACCACGACGCATCTTGACTTCGTCAGGCAAAGCTTGGGTGGTTGTTAAATGCCAAGGCTGACTTGTCATTTGAGCCTCACTTAGGCTCCGTGATCTTTGCCTCATTTTTTTAAAAAAGATTTTACTTATTTATCCATGAGAGACAGAGAGAGAGAGGCAGAGACACAGGCAGAGGGAGAAGCAGGCTCCATTCCATGCAGGGAGCCTGACGCGGGACTCGATCCCGGGACCCCGGGTCACAACCTGAGCTGAAGGCAGACGCCCAACCGCTGGGCCCCCTGGGCATCCCTCTTTGCCTCATTTGAAGAGCAGATTGCACCCCCCTGGAGAACTGACATGAAGATCAAATAAGATCGTGTGTGTGTGTGTGTGTAAAAATGTAAAGTGCTAATTTTTTAGACTTTATTTTGATTTTTTTTTTTTATTTATGATAGGCACACAGTGAGAGAGAGAGAGAGAGAGAGGCAGAGACACAGGCAGAGGGAGAAGCAGGCTCCATGCACCGGGAGCCCGACGTGGGATTCGATCCCGGGTCTCCAGGATCGCGCCCTGGGCCAAAGGCAGGGGCTAAACCTCTGCGCCACCCGGGGATCCCTAGACTTTATTTTGTAGAGCAGTTTTGGGTTCACAGCAAAAATTGAAAGGAAGGTACGGAGGCTTCCCACAGCCCCGTGTGGCCCCCAACAGGCCCCCCACTCTCAGCATCCCCCACCGGAGGGGCGCATCTGTTACAACCGATGAATCTGTGCCGACACGTCATCATCAGCCAGAGTCCACGGTGGACACCAGGGTTCGCTCGTGGTGCTACAGACAGTCTAAGGCTCTGAACTAATGTATAGTGACAGGCACTTTCCATTCTAGCATCACACAGAGTATTGTGCTGCCCTCACACCCTCTGTGCTCTGCGTGTTCACCCCCCCCCCGGCCCTCACAGTCTCCATGGCCTCGTCTTTGCCAGAATGCCATATAGTTAGAATCGTGCGACATGTAGCCTTTTCTCATTGCTTTTTCCACTTAGTGACGTGCAAGGGAGACTGCTCAGGATCTCTTCACAGCGTGCTAGCTCATTTCTTGCAAATGCTGAATAACGTCTCATTGACTGGCTACAGCCCAGCGCATGCATCCATCCGCCTACCTGAAGGGCATCTCGGTTGCCTCCACGGTTTGGCAGTCGCGGATAAAGCTGCTGTCAGCCTTCAGGTTTTTCCGAAGACATTGAAATCTTACCTCCTCTGGGTAGGGAGTAGGACTCCCGGATCAAATGGTTAAGACGAGGACCTTTAGACTTTTTTAAGAATGAAGTGCTATTTTAACCATGGCCTTTGACAGCTCTTGGGCTCCGCCCTCAAGGTTCAGGGGAGGACTCCCGGGGATGACGGGTGTGCTCTCCTCTCCCTCATCCCCAGGGGCGGTAGGGTCATGGCCCTGGCACTGACCAGTCCGGAGCATCACACTGAAGGGCATCAGGGGGCCCTCACCTTCTAAAAATCTGATATGGGACCTGGCACATCGTAGGCACAGACCAAAGTCTCCAGTAACCCCCTTCCTGTCCTCCTCCAAGCCGTGGTTGGACGTCCTACCTTTGGGTGTGGTTTCTGAGGCATTAAGGGCTCCCTGAATGACGGCCTGTGCTTCAGAGTTCTTTTTCTTCAGAAAGTCTATGGTTTCTCGTAAATCCAGCAGCTCCGTGTCCTAAGAGAGAATGACACTGGTGTCATTAGCTGGGATTAGCCAGGCGGTGGGCGCTGGAATCCCACCGGGTTTGCTAGAGAAGGGGGGTAATTCTGAGGGGAGGACGCCAGCCTGGCCCGTGTGCCCCAGCTCCCGGCTCCCTCACCTTCTCCTCCGCGGTCTCTGCCAGGTGTCGCAGGCGGGAGGTCATATTCACCAGGCTCTGCTCGAAGGCCGCCACCAGGTTAGCCTGAAATAAACACAGACGGAGGTCCCTAAGTCGCCTGAGGCCTGGGCAGGGAACAGGCTGGGGGGGGGGGTAGTTCGGGCTGACTCTGTGTCTTAGCAGCGACCGACGCCGACAACCCTCCTGGCGATTTTTGAACACTGGTTTCCCTGAGCAGACAGGTGCAACCGAACCCCTTGATGTTCGGCCTGAAGACAGGTTCTGGTGGGGACGAGCTTCCGGAGCGACGAGGTGGCAGAGACAGCATCAGGGCAGGGCAGGCTTCGGAGGCCCTGGGACACTAGGGATCTAGTACCTGTCACCACCAGAGGTGGGACTGTCCCTCTGCTCTTCAGGAGGCCCGTAACCTCCAGAGCTTTGCAATGGTCTCGACTGAACTCCTCCACTGCTGGCGGGCTGGCCCCATGGATCCAGATCACCTCCCAGTAGAAACTGCTCGGCGCTTCTGTCCACCTCTGCTCCCAGGTGCCCTCTGTGGTCCAGTCCGTCCTGCTTCTAGCCCCGGGGTCTGCAGGCGGCCTCCGCAGGGCGGGACAGCAGTAGGCCGCGTGGCCACTAGGTGTCAGGTGTGCTTCACGAGGAGGAGGCCGCGGAGGGGCAGCAAGGACAGCCCTCCTGCTGTTCCGGGGTGGCAACACGTATGGGAAAGCGCAAGGGAACCCGGGGATGGAGGGATGGAGGGATGGGGGAACCACCATGGCTGGAGGGCGTCTGAGCACGTCCGTGGCCCCACAGCAAGGAGTGCGGGCAGGCTTCGGGCAGACCCTCGGCCCAGAGCTCTGGGATGGGGTCTGTGGCAGCTGTGACGGCTTCCCGTGGACCAGGGCTTCTCTCCTCCCGGCCGGCTCTAGCTTTCACCGCCTGCCCTTGAAACACGACCGAGGCTCCTTGCATTGGACAGTCGCTGGCGGGATGCGTTCGGGTCTGGGCAGGCAGCCTCTTGCAGGCACCGGTGCTATGAGGCTGCAAGGCCCCGGGCGGTCCTTGGCAGACCTGTGTCACGGCCATGACCCCGAGCTGTTGGCTTCCACCCGCTGTACGGGGAACTCCTGTTTTCTTGGCCTCGGGCTGTGTCTCGTTCACTTTTCTACATCCCTGCCCAGGTCCGTAAACACACTGCATGGGGTCCCCGGACATCTCGCGAGGGACCCCAACGACGGCTGGCTTCTCGTGTGCTGTCTTGGCCTCTTCTCATGGGGGCCCCCTTCGCTCTGGAGGGGCTTTCTTCCCGTCTCCTACACACCCTCTCCCTCCTCCGAGCCCTCCCTGACCCTCAGCCTCACCAGGGTGCCTATAAGACTCCAGGGCTGAGCCGCGGTGCCAGGGCGAGGCTGGCACTTGGCAGAGGTGGAGGACTTCCGGGCCCTCCCTGTCTAGGGTGTGCCCGCGGCGTGGGCAGCTGGGAAGCGCCACGGAACACGACAAAAGCTCCGTCAGGGACCAGGGGATCCTGGAGAGCTCTGGTACCACGTCTCTGCTTGGGGCAGGGCTCCGACCCTCAGCAGGAATCTGCCTCTAAAATTCAGAACCCGTCATGTCTGGGTGTTCTGTCTTGGCCAAAGGGCACTTCCTGTTGGAAGAAAAACCACCCTCTACATTCATTTTCTTGGCTCTCCCGCAGCCTTGACAGCTCGGTGGCTGACGGATGCTGTAAATGAATCAGACACAGCGATGTCCTCTCCTCCCGGCGCCTCTCCCCTCAGCGTCTCCCAGATGTGATCCCGGGGTGTGCGGGACGTGACCCGGGCCACCAGCCGCGGTGGGTGGGGCACGAGGGAGGGAAGCCATGGGGCTCTTGCTGACATTATAATTCTTAGGAGGCCCCAGGAGTGGAAGACGGTGCATGACATGGGCTTCAAACAAACCGGTGAGCGGGTACCACGTAGGAGTGGGGGGTTTGGGGAAAGAGCAACATAAGAAAATAACCAGCGCGATGAGGGAAGCGGTTGAAACAGAATGGAAAGCTGCAACACCTGGGGGGAGAAGTGGTCTCCTCGATCCCAAGGGAAGACCCCAGGCCTGACAGCTGAGTTCCCCAGAGAGGAAGGGACGAGAGAGGGGAAAAAAAAAACAACAACAACAACCCCAGAAACTCCTGCGGAAATTGCAGACATGGTCACTTTTGTGCGAACACTTGGAAGGCTCCTGCAAATCCGGCTCAGCTGTTGTTTACAGCGTTGGGGGAAAATGGGTCTTATGTTCTCTGTTTGCAACTTGGTCACAGGGGAGACACTACCGAAGCCCAGCGAGAGGAGGCGGCCTCATCTGCCGCCGTGTCGCGGGGTAGAAGAACCAAGGCCTACAGGAGAGCCAGTCCAGCGGCACGGACTGAGGGCAGGTCGAGGGCGGGGACCAAGAGTTCCGGCTCCCAACCTGAGGCTCAGGTCATTCCTGCCCCCGCCCAGGGAGCCTGCTAACAGAAGGCGGTTGGCAGTGAGGACGCAGCTGGACTGGGGGGCGGTGCGCTTCCCGGCGGGTCGCGCCCGCCACACAGAATGCCACTGGCTGGTCCTGGGCCTGCCCAGGTGTGCGGCACGAACGACGTCATGAGCATGCCCCGGGGCAGCAGCAGAGAGTTCCAAGGGTTCCCCAACACGTGGCCACTTGTGTCCACGGCCGATGGCAAGTGTCCACGGCCATGCAGAACCACCCCCTCTCTGGGGAGTTCAAAGACGGCCAGGCACGAACTCGTCTACACCCGTTAATCAGGGTTGGGGCAGAAACAGTTCTCTGCAAGAATCGGGACTCAGGGAAAGAGCGGGCCAGGCCCGGGTCCCTGTCGCACAGCTGTGAGCGGGGCCTGCTCCCTTGGACGCTAAGCCCGGGGGATCCCTGCAGGGAATTCTCCTCCTCTGGCTGAACTTAGGTGACTTATGGCCACAGTAACTGCCTGGGTCCCCCCCCCCCTTCGCGGCACTCACGTTGGCAGAAAGTTGAGACGTCAGGGTGGCCACTTTTTCCTGGGACGACTCCAGTTCCCTACGAAGCTTCCGGATTTGCTGTGAAAGGAAGAGAAATACAAAGTTAACGGCGGTGGCGGCGGCGGCAGCAGCAGCAGCAGCAGGAGGAGGAAGAGGAGGAGATCTGGGAGCGGAACGGGGCTCAGCGGTGTTAACAAGCAGAGACAAAGGCTTTGCACCCTACCTCAGACTGCATCCTCTCCTCAGCCTGAAGAAGGAGCACAGAAGGAGAGAAAGAGAGAGAAGGGGGTAGTTACTACGGAGGTGAAGAAGCCGGGCCCGGGGCGGGGCGGAGAACCTGCAGAAGTGGGACTCGGGGGCCGAGACCGCTGCACGGCCCGGCCCGGCCCGGCCCGGCCCTCCCGAGACGGGCTGAGCCCCTATCTTCGGCCTCAAATCAAAGGTGGCTCTGGAGCTCGGGCTCCAGCCAACCGGGTCGTTGCCGAGACGGCTGGGAGGTGAAAGTCCAGTTGATCTGAAGACTAATCCCTACCGCCGCTCGCTCGCGCGAAGGGGTGAAGAGAACCAGGGGAAGGACAGATCGAAGAACCGAGTTACACCCCACGGCCAAGGGCGCGCGTGCCCCGTTGCCCGCGGGGACGCCTGGCGACTTCCGTCCGCGCTAGGATGCGGGACTCCTATCAACCTACACCTACCCGGCCCGCCTTGCCACGGACGCCCCCCACTTGACCCTGGCACAGAGCGGGCTGTCGCCAGGGCGCTGTCGAGTGTTCAAAGGAGGGGAGCAAAAGGCACCAGCGTTGGCTCAGGAACCGCCGGTGAGGCCAGAAAGGCCGCTGAGAGCTGACGCGGCCAACCGCGAGCTCCAGGTTCTAGGCGCCTCCCCGGCCCCCACCCCGACCCAGCAAGGCACAGTGAGCAGTTAGCGGCCCCCACCCACCCACCCCGCTCCCGACCACCACGGGCCCCAGGGAGCAGGGCCGGAGCGGCGAGGGGGCGGAGGGGAAGAGAATAACGCTCTTACTGAGGAGTACGTGGAGGAGGCACTGGACGCCAGGGACAGCACAGAGCCGTGGACTGGAAGAGAAACAGAGCGCACAGTTAGCAGGGGCTCCGGGGACGGGGGCTTCCTGGGCAGAGCCCTGGGGCAGGAGTTTGGACTGACTCTGGAGGGCATCCGGAGCAAACAGGAGGGACACGACGGGGGCCCCAACGGGCATCACGACAGCCCCGGGCAGGCTGGGACCCGGAGGAGGCGAGGCCCTGAGCAGAGCTAGCCTCCTCCTGCAGTCTGCACCCTCGGGCAGCCCGGGGCTGGCGGGCCCTGGCTCAGGCGGCCCTGCTCCGCGGGGCACGAGGGTTCAGGGGGAGGGACGCGAGGGGTCGGGGGGCAGGCGTCCTCTGAGCTTCCCAGGCAGAAGTGCTGAGGCTGCGGGGCAGGGGGAGTTTCTCATCAGAGCTGCTCAGAGCAGGTCCCGCAATCCCGTCCTCTCCCCGGCCCTGGGGGCCACGCAGATGGCGCGGGCTGAGGTGTCAGGTCCTGGCCCCGCTGACTCACTAGCCCTACTGACAGAAGCACCGCGCCCCTGCACGGATGCCGCCGCCGAGGCCGAGCGCCCCCCCCCCCCCCCCCCCCCGAAAGCCACAGCGGGAAGCCTGCTGTCCCGGTAGAGCCTGCGTCCTCCAGGCCCTGGCCACGCACGCCCGCGTCACCACAGACAAGCACAGGGCCCTCCCTGAAGCTGACCTTTGGCACGTTCTCGAAAGAGGAATGAGATGCCTAGTTCCTTCCCAGGATTTAAGAGCCACCCCCCCCCCCCATGTCCCTGGCTCTTTCCACGTTTGCGGAGAGACTGCGGGGAGGAGAGACTGCTGCTGGGGCGCAGAGGGGAGGAGCTGCGGCTTCCGGAGCACTCCGAGGGGAACCACGGAACAATTCCACGCTCCACGCCCCGCCCCCGGCCCCAATGGCAGGCGCTCCGTCCCAAAGCCCCAGCGCCAGACAGTGCCCCCCAGAGGTTCCTGGGCCCCCAGACCCTTCAAAGGGATGGGAAGAACGAACTGAAATGGCCCCGACTCGATGTTCTGTGAAGCATATACGTGTGTGTGGTGGTGGTGGTAGTGGCGGCAGTGGAGGTGGCGGTGGGTGAGGGGACCCAGCAGAGCTGGAATGAGCGTGAACCGCGCTGGCATGAAGTCTCACCATCGTCCGTGGGGTCTCGGAAGGATCCTGACCGAATCATCCCCTTGGGTCTCTCGGCCAGGGACAGGGTGCTCCCCATTTGGGAGCCGCTGTACAGCTCGAAGGCCGCCTCGTGGGTGGGGATGCTGTTGGAGCGGGTGATTCTTGGCGTGGTGGCCGCAGTGGGACTCACTGGAAGGACAGAGGGGAAGGGGACAGGAGAGGGAGGGGGAGGGCAGGAGAAGAGGCAGGGTCATCAGCTCTCTGGGTCCCTTGGGGAACGGAGCACCAGGAGCGCGGGAGCAAATGGTGAGGGGCGGGAGAGGGAGGGGCGGGAGGGGGCGGTGGGAGTGTGCAGGAAGCTGGTGGAGGAGTGGGGTCTCTCCCGGGGAGGTCGGGCCCTAGTGGAGAAGGACCCTGCTGTCGGGAGTAAAGGGGGAACAGCGTTTCCTATTTTAGACCTTCCCTCAGCCCTGCCTGCCCGGGGACTGTCGCCTTTGAAGGCTGGGGGCCTGGCAGCTTCCCCGCGACCGTCCCATCACTCGAATGTGCCGATGAAATGGGATGTTGTGGCTCCGTAAAATACAACTGGCAGCCCGGGAGGACTAAGAGTTCAGACCAAGACTCGATCGATCTGAACGATGACAAGGAGGCAGCTAGAGAAGGGGGCCGGGCGACGGGCGGGCTCGGCGGCACCGGAGGGGCCGGGACCCTCCCCGCAAGCAGTGTCCTTCTCGGCCACTGGTCGGTGCTGACGCAAGAAACCTATCCCTCCCTGGCCGGGAGGTCGGACTCGGACTCGGACGGACGGAGCAAGCAGGCCAGGGTGCCAGGTGAGGCTCCTGGAATCCACCTGGAAGCTGGGCTCTGCGGGGTCCCTGCGGGCCTGAAGCACCTGCTGCCCCCCCACCCCCCGCTGGGGCGACAGCCTCCCAGGTCCGCACCCACATGCAGCTCCCTGGCCTATCGTTGTGCCTCCACACAGGCGGGTGGACGTTAGTCCCTTCACGGGGACCGTGCACAAGAGGACCGCACACCTCCCTCGGCCCCTGCGAGGACGTGAGGCGGTCCTGGTGGAGCCCAGCCCCGCATCCTGCAGCATCCGTGCATTTCCTGTCGTCTGGCCCCCGGTGCAGACGGAGAACACGCTAGCCCCATCCTCCACCTGGCGGCCCTCCCGCCACCGGATGACCTTTCCTGAAGAATCACTCCCTGCCCTTCTCTAGGCAAAATGAGCCCGGTTTCTCCTCGAATCCCCCACAGCTGCCCCCCAGCCTGTTACGGGTCTTCGTCGGCCCTTACTGCTCTCCTTCCCTCGGCTGGACGAGGAGGTGGATCTAGAAAGACAACAGCAAACCGCCAGCCTGTCCCCAGCTCGGCCCTGCAGGGGCCCCCACGGCCGGTTCGCGGCGCCTGCTTCCCCCACGCAGGGCTGGGTCGCTCCCGTGCGGGGCTCCAAGGCTCCCGTCCCTGCCTCGGAGTCCGCAGTCTCCTCGGGCTTCCCTGGTCCGCCTTTCTGTCCCCTCGGGCCTCAGGAAGGGGGTGGCCCGGCCACGTCTTCAGAGGTGCTGCCCCCGGGGCGGCGATGGCCCAGGCTCTGCGGGCTCTGGAGGCGGATCCCCTGGCTTACGTCAGCAGCTGTTCCCTCCTTCCCGTCCCCCAGCCCAGCAGCTCAGTATTGCTGCCCCGGGCCTGGCGGCTCCTTTCTGGCAACCACTGCCTGTCCCTGTCCCTGCTCGAGTCTGGTCCTCCGGGCCTTGGTTTATGGCTTTCCTGCGCCCTCATTCAGACTCCCCGAGGCTACGAGGACCCTACAACGTGGGCCCGGGGAGCGGCCTTTCGGTTTAGGATCATCCTGGAGCACTCTGCCCCCAGTCTGATTTTGGTCGGGTAAACTGAGGCACCACGGAAGCGAGCCGGTGTGGCGGGGGTCGAATGTGAGATGGAGCGTAGAGTCCAGCTGCCCGGCCTCACGCGGCAGGGTGAGCCCTGCTGCAGCCCGTGCCGCAGCGAGCGACCCAGAACACTGACCTATGTTGGTGAGCTGGCCCTTTGCGCTCAAGGACATGGAGAGAGCCGGGGGCGACGGCAGCTCCGACTGGTCATCGGACTCGGGCAGCCCGCCGATGGTGTGCGAGTGTCGCCTCTCCTTGGTGTCCTCCTGGGACTGCAGCTGGTACCTGCAGGGCATGGGAGACCTCAGCCTGGGCCACTGCCAGGTGGAACCACAGCTCAGGCCAGTGGGGAGCTTCGGAGGCAGGACGAGGAAGAGGAGGGGAGGACAAAACAGCCCAAGAGGGGGCGAGGGACATGCCGCCTGGACACCTTCCCCCCCGGCCACCGAGAGGGTCCCGAAGGACCAGCAGGTAGCGCATGGGATGTCCTGAGGTGGGGACTGAAATGAGGGAGGGGGCATCCGAGAGCCTCCACCCCGAAGCTCCAGGTAGAGCTCTGCGGCCCCACGTGTGGGCTCCTTCCCCTAACTGGGGACATCAGTGCCGCAGGGCTGGCGGAGGACTGCGGTGCCCTGCTCGTGCCCATCTGTGTGACCCCACAGGCGGCCTGTTCTCCCTCCAACTGTGACGGAGAGGGACACACAGGAGGCATAGGACTGGGACGGCACAGGCTGTGGGACGGGGCGGGGTAGGATTCCCACGCACCAACGTGTTTCTCCCCTGTCCCCAAAAAGCAACGCTGGCTCTGAAGTGGACTCCCGCATCCTATAAGCTTGGGGAGGGTGCCCGGGGGTCTAGGCACGTAACACAGCCAAAAGGGGCACTGAATTCATGCCTGGGGCCCAGGACAGACCAGGAGTCCCGGGGAAGGACAGACGCATTTTAGGGTTACCTGAGCCCTTTCTTGGGAAGAGTGTTCCGATCCCGTGGAGTGCTGTGCAGGAATAAAAAGAGAGGGCGCGAGAGACAAGGATGTGAGTCCATCTTAGAAACCAGACGTGGGGACCCTAAGCTTTGCGGGACGCAGTGCGTGACACAAGACACCAAACCGTGAGCCCCTTGGTCTCTACAAACAATATAGGGAGAGAGCTGCGGCTGCCTCTGGGCTTACAGCTTGAGAGGTTCACTGGAGGGGCTCAATGTTCTGTGACTGGGGATCAGGACGTGCTCGGCTGCGTGCAGGGGCGTATGGAGGCGAGGTATCGTGGAAAGCCGTCGGCCTAACGAGCAGAAGCTCCGGATGAAGGTCAGACTCATCACGACGAGGCCCCGGACCGTCACCTACAGACCGTGCTCCGCGCCCCCAGTGTCATCGCGTGATGACAATCACAACTTAACAAATACACGGACTTGAAACCCCTACTTGTCTCCCGGAGCCGTCGTAAGGCAAGTGAAATTTATGGGTTTGAAAAAACGTTCAAGGTCCCAAGCGCCAGTGCAACCCGGGGCGTGTTAGTGGTGGCGAGAGGAGCCAGAGGCCCAGGGACAGAGCCAGGCGCGGCCGTGTGTCTGTGCACCCACCTGTCCAGCTGTCCGGTTCTGGGGCTTCCGCTCCAGGTCAGCTCTTCCGCCTCTTCCTCTGGGGGTGCAGCGGTGGGGGCGGGTGGGGCAGGGACCGGACTACTGCTGGGGAAGGCACTGGGCAGGCTCATTGGCATCTGGAGGGACTCCATGCTCCTGTGCAGGCCTGAGAGTTTGGGGTACATGCGGGTCTCTTTGGGGACACTGAAACCACTCATTAGCTCCAGGCCCTGGGAGAAGCTGGCTGAGTTAATATTGAGAATGGGTGCGGGGCTAGGGGTGAAGCAAGAAGGGAGAGGGCTCCCGCTTGCGGAGCTCGGAGGATGCAGGTCTGGGACCTTGGAGGCGTGGGCGTCAGTCGACGACGGCAGATCCAGACTGTTGGAGTTGACCTTGTCTAGGTTGGCCAGCGAGGGCGGCTTGACGAAGCTCTTAGCCGTGGCCCTGAGGGGAGTGGACATCCAAGTATTTAGAATCACGGAGTCCCAGAAGCGAGAGGCAGGTGGGACCTCAGAGGACGCCCCGTCTAGGTCCCCCGGGTCTGGCTACTTAAGCACAGAGCCGCATCCCCGTGCCTTGTGGAATGTGCCGGAAGGCAACCTGCCATCAGGTTGGGGTCCCTTCAAGTCCTGATGAGGGGGCGGCGCAGGCAGGCGGGTTTACATACGGACGGATACACCCGCGTGTCAGCAAACACGGCAAAACCGTAGGACGGAGCTGAAGACAGGTGAAGGGTGGCCCGGGAAGGGGAGAGGGAGGGGAGCTGTGACAGAGGGAGGAGGCCCGGCACCCCGGGGTGGGGGGGAAGAGGCACCAGCGGCCGCCCCGTCTAGCTAGGCCTGCGGACCGCCCGGTGTGCGGGAGCGCGGACAGGCGGGAAGGGGCTGCCCCGTCTGGTACCTGAGAGGGGTCGGTGGCAGCTCCGCCAGCTTGGGGGCCGGCGGGTGGCTGGGCTGGTTCTTGGGGGTGCTCTCGGGGGAGCCGATGCTCTTCAGGGAGATGCTGTCCGCGTCCAAGGCCACCGCCTTGGCTTTGGCCTTCTCCTTCTCCCGGTCTGTCTGGTTGACGGGGGCCGGAGCGGGGCGGCCGCCGGCCACCTTGGAAGGCTCCTTGAGTCTGGAGGGCGCGAGGCCCCCCTGCTTGGTGCTGAGGAGGCTGGGGTCGATGCTGCTGCTGACGGGCCGCGGCCCGCCCCGCCCGCCGGTCACGCTCATGGCGCTGGACTTGGCGGGCCGCGGCAGGCTGCGGTACTGGATGTTGGAGCGGGCGCCGGGCGCCAGGAACCCGGGCTCGGCGCCGTTGGACACATCGAGGCTCGTCTTGCGGCCGTTCACGGGCTTGACGGGGATGCCCGAGGACTTCTGGATCTTGCTGAGCGTGGCCGATCCCCCGGTCTGCATGACGGTGGCCGTGCCTGTGGCCGGAGGAGGCTTCTTGTAGCCGAAAGAGCCCGAGGTGGAGGGGCGAGCGATGCCCGACGGGGGCTTCTTAGCGTCGCTCAGGCGGTCCCGGCCGGCGTCGGAGGACGAGCGCTGGAGCCCGGTGGTCTTCACGGCAAGTTTACCCTTGTCCGTGGCTTTGCCCTCAGGTTTGCCTGCAAGAGGGCAGGAAATGAGCTAAGAGTAGCCCAGGCTGGCCAATGTCTCGGCAGCGTCCCGGCACATCCTTCCCCTTCCCTCCGCAGGACAACCAACGCGCTCTGGGGCCTTGAGGCCTGCACGCGGGTGAGCAGGCCCTAGGGAGCCTGACGAGACCCCGTGCCGGAGGAAGGACACCCGGGGAGCAGTGGCCTTGGGGTTTTGTTTTGCTTTTCGTTATTTTCTCTTTTCAGGGTAGGAGATTCCATTTCGGTTAAAATGGCAGAGGGTATTAAGCAAGTTATGAAGGTTGTTAAGAAAGAAGAGCATCGAACAACTGGTCAGGGAAGGAAAGACGGGAGGGGACGCCACAGGGTCTGGCTGTACCAGCTGGTAAGTAGAGGCTGGAGGGAAATGCTGATGGAGGCAGGAAGCTGCCCAAGGGGCCAACTTTGGGAGCAATACAATTCTGATTTCTTATTTTCTTGGGACCCCACCCCCCACCCCCGGGATGTCAAGCGAGTACCTTGTGGAGACAAGTGCACCAGCCAGATGTCTGAGGCGGTGTCTGGAGGCAGCTCAAATGAGTCTCTGAACGTAACCCACTCCCTCCTCTACCTCTGATGATGGGATTTTGGCTCCGCCACTTGAGCCCTCTGCGTTTTTATTTCTACAGTAGTGAAGCGGCGGTGGTAATTCCCATCTCCCCAACTCCCAGGACCGTGGTGAAGACCAGGTCGTACGCATTAAAGGGCCCGGGAAATGTCTGCCATCATCCCGTGGGTGCAGGACCAATACGGGGAACAACAACCAAGAAACAGGTCCTCGCCCTCGTCCCTTCCTCTTTGCCAGGCTCACCTGCGACTTTGAGGGCGCTCTGGGCTGTGTGAGTGATGGGGGACGTGACAGCCACTGGTGGGGTCTTGCCCTTCTTCAGGGACCCGGGGTGTCCCAGGCTGACAGGCTTTTTCAGCTCTCCGACCTTGGATGAATCGTCGCAGCTTTCGGGCCGCTCTCTCCGCCACTTGGAGGTCCCGGGTTCCATCTTCAGGCTACCACTGTCGTACTCCAGTTTTTTGGGGGCCTTCTCCTCTGATTCACTAAACCAGCTCAGCCCGCTTTCCGCCAGCGAGCGTTTCTCTGAGTCTGTGCGGAGCTGAAGACAAGAAGAGAACAATGCAGAGTGAGAGGCTCGCTTGGGGATGGAAAATGGGAGGCAGAGGGGACTTCTTTCGGTTGCCCTTTCCCGAGTATTAAGTCAACCCAGGGTTTCTACCTATACCTCTAGGGACCAGAGAAAAGGACACCGCAGGTATCCCAGGGCCTTTCCTTCTCTGGTTGGAACAGCTCTTAGGCGTATCACTCCAAGTGGGCAGGGGCGCTAAATCCTGGGGCTCCTACGACAACAGCTGATGTCTCAGGTGACTGCCTGGCAGCCTCAGGTTTCTCCGGGCCAGCTCCGAAAGGACCTGGCCAAAGGCGCACGGGAACCCGTCCCACGGAGCGGGCGAGTGCAGGTGCACACCTGCCTGCCCTGCGGTTCACGCTGAGGCGTCTGCAAACTCACGTACCACTATCGTGGAGTTCCTGCGAGAGGCGGTGGGGGTCGTCGGGAGGGAGTTGAGGGAGGAGCTGGCATTGAACTCTTCTGAGCTGAGGTTGTCCGAAGCATCACTGAGCCCGCTGCTGATGGAGCTGCTTTCATCCCAGCTGTAGGACAGGAGACAAAGGTTAGCAGTTGAAACAGAAGCCAAGACGGGAAAGACGATTTTCCTACGGGTGGGAGAATGGCTGTATTCCACTGCAGGGACTGGCCAAGAGCAGAAAGCTTGAAGGTTAGTCCCGGGTTTGCCAGCAACTTGAAGTACAATCTGGTGGTGTTCTTTTATGAAAGGAAGAGACTCCGTCTTTATCCGGCGAAGGAAAATGTCACATCTCCTTAACAGAAAGGGAAACTGTAAAGACAAGGCAATTCTTGGACGGATCTAAGGATCCAATTCCTCTCCCTACCAACGGCCTCCATCCTTAGAATTACTGTAGCTTTGTTCATTTCTGGATGCGTTCTCCAGGTATTTTCCCCTCTCTTTTCCAAATTTTTCCGTACCTGGAGAGGGCCAGAAAAAGACCGATCTTTTCCGGGAGCCCCTGGGCCTATCGTTTCTCATTGCTCCCCTGCCTATCCGGTTCCCCGATGCTGGGATCAGGCCTTGCTCCTACACGGCACGCGCCGCTCTGCTGATAAATGAGCCACACGTAAGGTGCTGTGGCCAAGCGGAAGCACCAGATTTGTGCTGAATGGTTTCCTTTCCCGCCGATTGCTTGGGATGCCAGATTTGTGGTATCTGGGAGACAGTGTCGTTGAACATCTGTAGCTGTAGGTCTCTCTAGAAAGAACCCTCGTCCGTACACTAAGTGAAATTAATACAGCCTCCACGTCTTTGGAGCTTGGACTCTACAGCATTCCACTGGCTGTTCATCTTCGCGTTTAACAACTTGTGCAGTTAGAAAGTCAGTTCTTACCATCTGACCTAAGTAGCCTCCTCCGCCACTAATACCACCTTCCTTTTGTTCTCGCCTTCTTTGCTGCTCTCAAGTTTCTTCTTCATATTATTTCCTGAGTTCAAAATCTGTCTCCTGAAACCTTTCACCAAACCATCCACCATTTCTGTTACTTCCTTCTGGACCCTACAGAAGTCCTTCAGATTTCACTCAAGTTTCAGAGCCCAAGACTCAACATGGACTTCGGGAAGACCGCAACACGAGCATCTCTTTGTGCCTGTAGGAATCTCTAAACCCTTGCATCAGTGTTCACAAGTTTATCGGCTTTGCGTGTGTGAAGGATTAAGAGGCTGAAGATGTTTTTTTTGTGAATTAGCTGGTATCTGGAAAATGTTCCCTTTTTGATTTATTTTGAGTTCCAGATCATGGAACAAGAGTCAGGCATACAAGCCATCTACGTTCTTGGCCCAGATTTCAGCTGGCCTCCCTCTAATTTATTTGCTGGGAATAGGAAAGTGGGTGGTTTGGACACTTGGCTCGGTTGCTCTGGGGTGATTAATCCAAATACATTGAGAAAGAGCAAAGAAAGCTTGGGGATTAGAATGCACAACAGAGTGATTTCAATTTTATTACTAAGAAATAACAGCCCTTATTAAAACAAGCAACCTCTTTTTTCCTCTACCCGTGACCTATATTAATCCCACATTTGTCTTGGGCTAAGATATCAACAGCCCCCATTTTGCAGAGAAAGAATACTGAGGAGGAAAGATCAATTCTGGCTTTATGATCCTATCAGCTCCTCTGGGTCAAGATAAGATCTCTGGCAAGCAAACAAACAAACTATTCACAACATGTTCTCTTGGGTCAAAGACAGAGGAAGCCTGTAGCACTGAACCTTCCATCTGAGATTAATTATTGGTAAGGAAGGTCTTGGAGTGGAGAAAAGTCTTATGGAAGGGCTGCTGCCGTCCACCAGGCTAAAAGAAACCTTTCCTTTGCCCTACATTTACAGAAAACCTAAAGTAAAATGAAGAAGGGAGTGCAGCTTCTCAGAATGGGTTTCAGTCCTCCCTGCCCAAAAGGCATTTCTCCCAACTCACAGACTCTGCCTAAAGTGAGAAAGTATCAGCCTAAAATTCTTGGGCAAGATTGGCTAGAGGATTTAAAGGTTTCCTAGGAAAATTCCTCTTGCAGATTCTGGACAAAAGAAAAATTCTGTTGTCATTACCGAAGGGTTAAGCACGTCCATTGGAGATGCTCCACTTGAAGGGAGTATATTTTCCTTTTTTAAGACAAATGTTAGAAAAGTAGTGGATGCGATAGTCAAGACTCAAACGTTATATGAAATTATAAAGGGATAAAGGGAAAACATCCCCTTTCTACCCTCCCACTTTTACTTAAAGAAAAAAAAAAGATTTTATTTATTTATTTGAGAGAGACAGAGAACTAGCAAGAGGAGGGGTAGAGGGAGAGAGAGAGAGAGAGGCTCAGCGGGGAGTCCGCGCAGGGCTCGATCCATCCCAAGACCTTGAGATCAGGACCTACCTGGGTGCAAGGCAGATGCCTCACTGAGTCACCCAGGTGCCCCCTACTTTTACTTTTAAGAGTCACCACCGTTAGCAGCTTCTCGTGCTTCCTTGGGGAATATCCCTGTGCTTCTGTGTTCTAGCTGTTTGCTCTCTGGGGCTGCTGAATAGCTGACATTACGGGACCACACCTCATCATCCTGGGTCTCTTTACCAGACTCTTAGCTTAGAACCTCAGTCTTCCTCTTTGTTGGTTCCCTTTCTTGTTTTAGTGAAGTACCTCTTCTGGCAGCTTTCTGAAGAAAAAAAAAAGGATGCTTGGGAAGCAAACTTGATACGTAAGGTCTGACACACTATAAAATGTCTTTATCCTGTTTTTACATGTGAAATTTTGGCTAGCCATAGAATTCTAAACTTAAAGCAATCTCTCAGAATTTAAAGGCCTCGCTCCATGGTCTGGCCTCTATCGTTGCCATTCTGTTTCCTCGTCCTTAATACGTGACCTGTTTCTCTTTCTCTGGAAAGTTTTAGCATCTTCCCTGGTGTTCTAAAACGTCATTAATGGCATGCCCTGGTGTGGGCTGATGTTTATCCGTTGAGCTGGATACCTTCCTGGGCCCTTTTAATCTAGAAGTTTTCATGCATTATTTCTTCGATGACTTTCTCCTCTCCATTTTTCCATTCTCTCTTGTACAATGTTTATTATTCAGATGATAGATTTTGAGGCTGATACTCTTATTGTCTTTCTTATTGTCCAGCACTATAGATATTTATTTTTTAGCCCCACATTTTGGGCAGCGGCCTCAATTTTATCTTCAGTTGCCTCCATTAAAACGTTCGTTTCTGCTGTCATATTTAAAATTTTAAGGGTATTTTAAAAAATAGTATATTGTTTTTTTTCTCTCAAGGGTGCAATCTCCTCTCTTAATAACTCTCAAAGATATTCATTCACTCATTTATTCAGAGGGCCAGGTTTACAATCTCTTTGTACAGTTTCTCGTTCCAAGGAGCTTTTCTCTGTTTGTATTGGTGAGACTTGCAGGTTATAGACCCTTCTGGTTTGTCGGATGATCCTTGGCTGTTTGTGTATAGGTAAGACTGGAACACCCGTTCTAGGTTGTTTCGAAGCTTTCTGTACATTGGCAGGACTGGTCAATTATGGTTTCAGTATAGGGAGGAAGTGATTGGACTTACTCATTTAAGTCTTTTCTCTTGGGCTGGTCAGTTCCTAAGAGATGAGTCTCCCAAACTCCCAACTGGAGCGGAAGCGCAGTTGCCTTCCGGGAAGTAGCAAAGGAGAGGATCTCAAAGTTTACGTGTTTTTTTATATACATTTTAAACCAATCCTCCTGTTTTTAGTTTCAGCTCTTCACCCACTAAGAGTACCTGATGTCACCAATTACCAAGCTTTTTGAGGGCTCTGGGGTGCAAACACGGTTGCTGTGTAGCTCCCGCTACTGGATTCAGATTCAGCTTTAAGTCAGATAAATCAGTTCACACTTGCCATTCTGATTTCCAGCTTCCCCAAACTTGGTGGCTATTATCTCTTCCTTCTCCCATTCTTTGTCCTTGTGGTGTTAAGACCTAAGGAAAAAAGACCCTGCCCCCCCCTTAAAAATTATTTATTTATTTGAGAGAGAGAGAGAGAGAGAGAGAGAGAGAGTAAGAGCACCAGTGGGGGTGGAGGGGACAGGTAGAGGGAGAAGCAGAGGACGTGGGGCTTGATCCCAGGACCCTGAGATCAGGACCAGAGCTGAAGTCGGATGCTTAACCAACTGAGCCACCCAGGCGCCCCAATCCCGCCCCTCTGTCTTCCCTGCACTGAGAGCAGCTCTCCCGCCACAGCTCGTCATCCCCTGAAGATGGACGCACGTACAGCGTTCGTCTCCACCCACCTGTTGCTCGGGAGCACCTCTCAGCTGTTGAGCTGCTCACTGTCTGCAGCGCTGCTAAACCCACCAGAGACACTGACAGATGGCCGTCAGCAGCTTGGCAGCCCCACGTCCCCGGCCTCCCTCATTCCCAGCCGCAGCTTCCGAACCAGCACCATTTCAAGGGCCATTACCCCGGCAGCCACATTCACGGGGGCTGGGGCTGCCACGGTAGGGGCAGCTGGCTCTGGGGCTGGGATTGGGATTGTGTTTGGGAGCCTCGCCTCATCACTGGTTACGACAGGAACCCTTTTCTGAAGCAAAAGCTGTCCTCCTACGCCATTCTGGGCTGTGCGCTCTTGGAGGCCACGGGCTCTTTTGCCTGATGGTGGCCTTTCTCGTCCTCTTTGCCGTGTGAAGGAGCCGTCTCCACCTCCCTTAGGTCTTTCTCCCGAATCTTATCTGGCCTGTATGTTCCTTTTCCTATACCTCCCCAGGCAGCCTCGGGAAACTGATTGGCTCAGGGCCTGACAGAAGGAAGACAAATAAATAATGTATTAATAAGAAAAGAAAAAGAAAGGAACCCCAACCCCTTTATTATCATTTTATTCTTGTGAAATATATTAAACGAATGCTACCAGCAACAAAACACCCCTAAACGACACTCAACAGAACTGGCTCTTTTGGATTAGACGTTCTGATGGGTAGACTTTGAGTAGAGTGAGGACAGGAGACATTAACTTTGTGGAGTTCCATCACCAAATGAGGAAGAGCCAGAAGGAACCATCTAGACAATGTTTTGATGAATCAAGGC